GGGGAATCAAACAGGATGATGTTAAGACAAAGGCTTAATTCAGTTATTAAAAAGATACACTCCTTTTGTACTTGTTTTAATTATTCAAATATCAACAAATCGTAAAAGGTTCTCTCGCGCCGCCTCAAAATATTTCCAACTTATCATCACACAAGTTAACAACAAAACTGCCCAAAAATATCACGCTAGACACCAATGGGCTATTGAGCGCACAACAGCTCATCGCATTAAGGTCGTGAATTGACAGAAGTTAGAAATTGCGAACCACTAGAAACCGACCAGGTGGCCGAATGCTTTAACGCGTTCGCCGTGAGACCTGAACGTCCTCAATTACATCCCTAGCCGGATCATTGGTGCGTACTGCTGAGGAGTCCCATACTAGGACGAAACAGCTGTCCAGTGCTCCCAGATTTTCAATGGTTCCCCAACCGATGTCAGTCCATGGTGAATACTACTTCTAAGTTAAAAATCCTCATTCATCTCAAAAATACATTATTGCAAGAACAGTCAGCAGGAATTGTAGATTTTATACTGATTGAATAATCTTTCACTACCAGACATATAGTTGCTTTTCTAGTCATCCCTTCGTACAGCTACATACCCATAAAAAGTAGACGATAACCCAAGAACAACTGGTCATTGTGTATTATTGCTTATCATCCTCTGTTATCATTAATATTATTTAGCTGTGATGATTATTTAATTAGAAAATATTGTACAAGGAGTAAATTTGTTGAAATATCACACTGAGGATTTCATACTGTTAAAAAATTATTGTCTGGAAAATAAGTGATCATTGTTGTTACTGTACAACAGTTTCCTGATACTACGATTGAATTTTTAGTACAGTAGAATTATGTGTGACAGAAAATTTTCCTACATTATACAGAATAACTAGCTAAATATACATTTAATGAATTAAATTTTCTGAAATTTATTTTTCAGTGTTATTTTTATTTCCCAAGAATCACTTTACATTGTAACAACAGGTAGAAGTATGAGATAAAGTAACAAAGGATTACAGATTCTTTTTACTTGAAGTAAGCTTTCATACAGAAAATCTTAATAAGTTACCCAATGACAGGCAGGATACACCACTGGGTCACACGATCCTTCTTATTTATTGATAAGAAGGAAAAATACTCTATGCAACCCAGGAACTCACGCATGTACCTGTTGTGTTAGGAGGCAGCAATATAACTTAGTTACCTAAACTATGAGAGATAGGAATGTGCTTATTCTCACTAGTTGGAAGTTGATTGCCTAAAACAGCTCTTCATAACACAGTGTATCATAATCCTAAACTTTACAAATTAGAAACTCTCTGAGATGCAGTTTTTGACACTGCTAGCTTCATAATTGCCAATCTAACCACACAGAACGCCACAAGCTGTACTCAGTTATAAGCTAAATGGTTTGAGTAAACATTGATTCAATTATCTTGTATCTTTAGTGTTATTGCTTGTATTACACCGTCGTTGATAGGACCGAATTGATCAGTCTCTGTTGGCATATGGGCTCCTATGCGGGTGCCTCGATATGGCCTGTCTTTTAACTATGTTTAGTAATGATGGGCAGTGGCTAGCAGTGGAATCCAGGATGCGCATTTCGTCCTATTTGGGGCTCGTCAGCTGGGTGTACCTGCCTCCCAATGAGTGATGTTGTTCCTACCAGGACTCTGACTCAGGAGCGATCGCTTCAAACGCCAGCACGTTATCCACTACACAACCGAGCCACGATAGCCACTTCTTGTGTGACGGGTATAGGTTTAGTGTTATTGCTTGTATTACACCGTCGTTGATAGGACCGAATTGATCAGCCTCTGTTGGCATATGGGCTCCCATGCGGATGCCTCGATATGGCCTGTCTTTTAATTATGTTTGGTAATGATGGGCAGTGGCTAGCAGTGGAATCCAGGATGCGCATTTCGTACTATTTGGGACTCGTCTATCTATTAGATTTACCAGTTTTTTTTCTGTAAGTTGTTTATATTAGGGATCATTCAAATAATATATAGTGATTATCTTCAAACAACACTACCATTTTATTGAATGACGTTGATCAAATGATAGAAAAAATCAACGTAGAACTTCGATCATAAGTTCATCACCTCAAGTTGATACATTTCACAGTAGTATATGACGGCTGACGTTTATTACCCAATATACTTCTCCCCCCCCCTAATTTATTTAGGGTGGAAATGGAAAATGATTGGCTGACTCCACTGTTTAAAAGTCAATATTTGTTTGGTGAAGATACTTTCCTATTGGACTAGGACACTTATAGAAATCTGATTAGCTGAGCCCAGATAAGCTATCCGTATTTAGATTGGCTTAGAAAATGATCATGAGATAAATTCTGTTTTCAGAAATTAAACACCATCAGGTTAAAATTAAATCTAAAATAAATTTAAAATTTGTAGAGAATTTAATTCTGTAGTGACAATGTTGTGTAATATTTCAGGGAGCCTGTTTCAAAATGTATTGAATATAATTCCCCGTTGTTATACACGGCTGAATTGCTCGACCTCTGTTGGTAAATGAGATTCTATGAGGATGCCTTAATACTGCTACTGATTCATGACGTTACATTGATTTCGGTGACTAACAGAGGGCTCCAGGACTGATGTTTCACTGCTTACGAAAGCAAAAGTTATGGGAAAATCCATGAAGTCGATGGCTACAAACTAGTAGAGAAAAAGGTTCTCATTATTAGTCTAGTAAGTGCCATCGAGACCCAGAAGATCAAGACAGTTTTCAACTGATCGGCGGTGGCGAGGAAAAGGATTTCAGATCTCCACCCTCTGTGACAGAGAAGGATGCCGATCCACCTTGACTGCAACTTTTTATAACTGCCTACAACAATATCGTTTCAAGGGAAAATTCAATTACCGGTCAAATTACACTGAGCGAAGAGGCGATAACGTATACCGAACACATCTTGATTATGCAATTGTTTACCATAGTGTGCATAAACGTAGTCGACAACATTAAATGCAACCGTGCCAGATATTAGCAATGGCCTTATGCTCTCCAACTCAACTCCCGAGCCCAAGAACTATTGTCATAAAGCACAGAACTGCAGGGATGATTGTGAGTTAACAGCCACAGAGTTACTGTCCAGAAACCTAAGAACTTCGCGAGCAAGAACGCCCAACAAGAATATTTCAGGGATATTCTACGAAATATGCAAGTAGAACTGACCATCTTGTCACTACACCACCTACTAACCTGCGTTCACTAGCCTTAAAGCAGACAAACTTGACGAAGGCTCTCCGATCACCTTGCAAATGGGAATCTCACACGACGTAGTGCGTTCACGTCTGTTTCTCATACTCCTTTAGGGCGACCTTCAAATACTCTAAGGATGGAAACGCGGCGAGACAAAAACGCTCCATAAAGACTTATTCGTTTTCGGTCACGATACTTTGGACGGTATCGTAGCTTATCATGAAAATAACGCAACCCTTCCTCAAAATTCTCTGTTTTATAGTACTTTTCGATTTCGTGCAACAAATCACATGGGATGGTTCCTGGTTCACTTTGATTGGACAACAGGTGACACAGGGAGTGAGGGGGAAGGGGTAGAAAATAACAGATAAAAAAGAATTATTACCGTGGACCAAATGTATTTCGTATACAACGAATCGATGGATAGAATAAGAGTGATATCAAAGTGGACAAACTTATGTGAGAGAATAAACAATTTGAAGGTAACACTTAGTGCAAATTTTCAAGTAGAGAATACGTGTACACCATTGTGACCGATTTCTAGCCATACCACCAAGAGTCTTCAACCACTGATTATTATCATTATTGGGACCTTAGTCAGTCAGTTTACATCTCCCCCATACGGCTCTGACCAACAATCAGAGATTTCGTCAACTGATGACGCGTCTTTGTCTGGTCACATTGAATCCTATTCCAATTCAATCCAATACCCCTAGCATTGCACCTCGAGGTAGGCGGTTGATCAGCATGCGCAGTACATGTCCAAGGCATCGTCAAGCGACTTACCTGTCTTGCCTAGTACCTTTCGCCTGATCTCAACGTTCCCCACACGGCGGTTCCACCAAACGCGAGCAATGCTACGAAGGCACCTATGATCGAAGAACTGTAATTGTTTCATGTCTCCTACTTTTAGTGGTTGTCTCACAGTCGTATAACAGGACAGAACGGACGACAACGCAGTATATTCTCGCTGATGCCACAGGTGACACAAGCTAGTAAATGCCAAACGGGCCTTCTATATCCGAGCTGATATTTCGATACCAGCTAGTCGGTTTGAACTGATGATCAACTGAAGACTGTATAATGGCAACAAACGCGTCAACAGTGGTTAGACCAAAAGTTGATAACAATTGGGATTTTCGACAATGTCTACTAGGCAGGTGAAAGTGATTTTTGAAGATCACATGTAATACGACTTAAAATCAATAAGCAAGCAGTGAAGTGGATGCACAGTCACATACTATAATGTAGTAATTTATTTCCTCTATTCTACTATTTCCATTCGATTATCTTCCCATCCATCACAAGTTATAAATTCTGTCACAATTAAATATATATCGCTAAGCTGAGTAAAATAGATATAGTAGGTTAGAAATAAGAGATTAAACAATTGGCGAGTCATTGCTGAAGTTGGTGAACCAAAGTTTGAAATGCCAAGAAATAGGTAAGTTTCTTCACCGATAAGATTATGAATCAAAGGGATTTACAAATAATCATATATCAGAGATAATGTCAATACACTCCTTTCACTTACAGTAGAGATATGCGTTTGTACACAATGCCACATTTACAAAGAATATATATATATGTATATACACGTCAGAATATTAAAAATATATCATTCTTGGCATGGATCAGTTGAAGATGTTGATACATGAAGAAATTTTCCTGAATTTTGTAGACGTCTACTACTTCTTCTTTGTTGTGTCAAGTTAATTTCATTATCTTCAGTAATATTCAAAATATTCATATCATTGACCATCATTTCAGTTACATCACTATCGATTGATGAATCATTATTACTATTGTTTGCTTTATCCTCTATCTCAACATCATCATCATCATCAACAACAACTTGTATAGGTTTCACTGACTTTTTAACCGTAGAATTTGAAGAAGTATAAGGTTTACGTCGATTTTTTTGTGATTGTTTTAAAGAATTGATTGGTCTACTGATTACATCTTTTGGTTTTAATTCTAAATAAACTGAATCTTTACCAGTTGGAATACGATTCAATAGTGTATCAAAGCATTTACAGTATAACTGTTCTACGCAGATAAAGTGTATAAAGCCTAGACTATTAGCTACTGCTATCCATGTAGCTGCTGTTGGATTCGGATTAAAACGGACCTGTTAATTGTTTTTTTTTTAAAAAAAAACAATGAGAAAAGAAAAAAAATCCAATATCAATAAAAAAAGGAATAAGTTTTGAGACATATAGAAGAATTTTAAAAGAAATGAATAATATGCATTCATGTTGAAAGAAAATATGTTTTCGTATACATTAGTACTCATCAGTGATAGCTGGAAAGCTGTTTCTCTTGTAGATGTTCTTTGAAGAGATCAGATCTTGACAACAAACCCGTAAAGATTTGGAGTGTATGTGCGTTAATCTTTATAATTATCAGATAAATCTTCTTGATAAATACCAACACATATAAAGATTACGATTTCATTATTTGAGTGATTAATATATATACAGAAATGCATGATGACATTATATCAGAAGACTTTCATGTGGATTAACCATAGTAACTATTTGGTCTTTCAGTAACAAGAAAGACACTTTAAAATTCAACATCATGTTGCGGTATGCATATCAACTATTATCCATAATATTATTCAATTTCAGTTGTTTTACTGATTGTAAAATATGGAAATCAAAATACACTTACAGTAACCATATATACATTTGTGCAGTAGACAATAAGCCACACCCCCTATTGTATACCAAATTGACAATACTACCTGGTTGTCTAAATCTCAGTGGGTGGAGTATTTCTCGAACTTAACGACCTATTGATTAGAAGTCAAGTGCTTAAATCAATAAAACCACAATAGATCCATGTACTAACACTACTAGTTACATAGATTTTGCTAAACAGTAATGAATGGAATCATTACATTTTGCTTAAAGGTACTCAAAGTAAATAAGAATATGTTCCATGGTACATACATTGCTCAAAATAAAGACTAAGATTTATCAAACTAAATAAATTATCACTGATCTATCCATTCATCCAAATCAACATAGGATAAGGTATTACTTACTGCGTAACGGTCCGAGTTGCCACACCTCATGTCAGTACATCAAGTAAAAAGGCATTGAACTGCAAGATGAAGATAAGAAAACTCAATCAAGTGAAACATAAAGTACTAAAAGAGAGAAAGGAAGAGTGAGAAAATGTTGAGATTCGGTATAGCATCGTTAAGATGAGAATAATGTGTGTATACATCTGCGCCACGGACACCGGTTCTCAGCCATGTGATCACCTAGAGTCAGTCTCCAACCACTGGTTCCTCTTGTCCCGCCGACCCCAACCGACTAGTCTGCATTGCCCCACATGGATCAAACCAACAGTCACCTCAGGCCTTTTTCCAGCCTCAATCTACTTCGGCCAACATTGTGTGACGAGGCAATCGGTGACTAGGCATAGGTAACACATCCCAACCAGCTATCCCAGTCGATGGAGGTTCACAAACTGGTCAACTGACTTACCTCTTCTCCCTAAAACTCTACACCGGACGTCTGCGTTACTCATATGGTGACACCACGGAATGCGGCCTATACTACGAGGGCAACGGTGGTCAAAAACCTAAAGCCTTCTCATGTCTTCCACCTTCAATGGCCGTTTCACAGCCATACAGTAAAACAGACCGGACTGCTATGTACTACATGCAACCTTTAATAGACAATCGGATATCACGGCAAGAGCAAGCCGAGTCTTTTGTATTTGTGCAGAGATTTTATCGGCCACTGAGCCACCAGGGCTGATCCTACTTCCTAGGTAAGTGAAGTCGTCAACACAATCACTACACTCTCTATTTTTAGCCGAGGCACCGTTGAACGTCAATCCTGCAGCAACAATTTGCATTCGGGTGGTGAGAAACGCATCCCAAACGTAACAGGACTATGTCATCTGCGTATCCTAGGTCTAACGAGAATTATCCAAAAGAATATCTATGATAAAACTGAATCAGAATGGAGACAGTGGGCAACCTTGACGGACATCACTCGGCAAGCACAGCTTCCCGGATATTTCACTATAGGCTCTAACACGCCCACAAGTGTTCGAGTGGAGAGCCTTCAATAAGGTGATGTACTAACTCAACATGCTTTTCAGTGAGAGACATTGCCATAAGACTTCTCGATCAACGGGGTCGAATGCCCCCTTCAGGTCGAGAAATACACCTATTGTCGAGTGTCGGTAAGCGTATCTGTGTTCCAGAACCTGGTGCAGTCTGAATATTTGGTTGATACATCCGCCACCGGGCCTAAAAGCCTGTCTGATCTATCAGTCAGGATAGTACAGCTGTCTAAAATTCAGAAACAAAAAATTCATAAAGGTGTCCTAACATTACAATCCAATGAAACTCAATGAACACAGAAATAATCAATGGATAATATATTGGTTCATCTTAAGGTTGTTTCACACAGACAAATCAACACAGAACTTGATGCAAAAGTGTAACATTTCAAGTTGCCATAGTATATAGCAGTATAAAAAGATATAAATCGAATAAAGAATGATATGAAAGTATGCAAAAGTGTATGAGAGTAAAGAGGATGAACACAGGAAATATTTACGACTTCCAAGATCATTAATATTGTGAATATCTGCGTTATCGTGATCAATTTTAAGTCACATCTATTGTCCAAAGATTGATGATACTACTTGGATGCTCAAAACCTGGATTCGAGCCAGCGGCCCACTGGCTGAAAGATAACTATAACAAAGACATGTAAGCGAACAATATTGTTTTCAATCCGATCTCTGTTGTGAGGCTCTAGTTTCGCATAAAACATTGTTATTGATCTGAACACTTTTAACATGGCATTCTCAAACCATTTTTTACGGTATGACTAACAGTTTATTTTCTGCCCCCACTGTAATGTAATTCCCTGATTGGTTAATCTTTACTCTTACTATGCGGATGTCTCAAATCGCGGACAAGGTCATTTTTCATGAGTGTACATATTCACGTGTTTTGGGATTCATTATTATACTATATTCTCGGAGAAATAAACTCTCCCATCATCCAGCTTCGGTCTTCTTTCTATTCGTCCCGGGGTTGCAGTCAGTGGATCTTGCGTACTAAGTTAGCTGTCCGCTAAACGTGCATATTATATATTCGTTCAGAATATATAACCGTTGGCGTTCGAAGATATAATAATCTTATCAGACTCACTCTAATATACATAACCTTCGACATATTTGTAAAATTATCAACCAACCAAGGTAATTTGTGGGTTAACAGCAGCAAGGAATACGGATTGTTGAACAAGGTTAATACGAATGTTTACAGTGACACGACAGTGTAAAAAGATGTTCAGACAGACAGACAAAGTAGCTCAAAGATTGAAAAAAATAAAGAACAATAAGGTTGTGTGATACTGGAGGATGAAGGCGGTGAGTATACAAGATTTGAATGTGAATATAGTAATGGTGTGAAGAGGGGTGACAAACTGAGGAATGAAAATACAAATACCAATGGTATTAGAGAAGTAAAAGGGAAGAGAAGTCTACATAATAAATTGATATTCAATATTGATGGAAAGAATTATTTCACATAACACTCCAAATGTTCCATCTCATCTACCTTCAAAATCCTACTCAGTGAGCATACAGTTCTTTCTATACAATTCAAACAAATTACTATATGTATGAAATGATAACATATCCTGGTCTAACATCTCTCCTGTTTCCTACTTTTTGACCCTATTCAAGTGAACAAGCATACCGTGGTAAGTGAATGACTAAAGTTGAGTAGTACATACCAGTCACATCAGTAGATACGAATTCTGGATGGCTTTCATTGTCATCCTAGACAACATCATCAACACGAACTTCTGTGAGAAGTCAGCTATGAAGATTTCTTTACAAGTGGCTTAATAACTTATCCTAATGACCTTCGGTGTGATTAGCTGTCTCTCCTATAACCCATCGCTGTCTTCATACATATTCCAACTGACTGTCCTACTGATGTGAACTGTTTCTTACTGGTTGATAGATTGGGTTAGTATCAATAAGTGTTACGAGACCCGACTGCTGACTAGGTTTTTATTTCACTTCAATCACCAAGGGTTTTACCCGACTACCATGTGGATTCATGACGCGTTGCTACCACTTGATCGCACTTACACTGGCTGCCACGGTTCAAATTCTCATTTCACTTTCAATCATCACCTATTATCAATACAAGCCTGCCAAACCGCGGATATCTCACTCAGATGGCTAAAACGATAATCAATACGATGCCATCTTTGTCTAATTCAGGATGATTTGGATTGGGATGAGAAGTCTTAACTGGGCAGATAGTGTGAGTACGATTAAGCAGTAGCAAAGCGTCATGAATTCACATGGTAGTCGGTTAGAACCCTTGGTGGTTGAAGCGAAATAAGAATTTAATCAGCAGTCGGGCTTCGTAGCCCAGTCAATGTGCGTTGATTAATGACTGGTTTAAGTATCCCGATTCTAAAAACTTTGAAATTCTTGGTAGTTGCTTCATCCACCATTTCTACATTCCTTCAGTTAAAACTTATGTCCATAAATGTCTATATGCATTGATATGAGCGAAGACTACATCATGACGTTTCACTGTTTTGTTTGTCGGATTCATCGTCAAACAAAAAGTAATCCTCAAAAACCCAACAGAAAAACCAGAGATTGCATTCAGATTACTGAAGCCCTCCGAAATCGCTGAAGCTCACTAACCTACAAAATTCCTTCATTCCACGTTAAACCGGCTAAAAGACGCAATTGTAAAGAAAAATGAGTTCAATGTTATCTACAAAATAAACTGCAAAGAGTGCAGAAAACACTATATGGGACAGAGTGGCTACCGTATTCGTCTATGGCAATGAAACCTCCACCAAGCTCAAGAAACACAACACTAAAGTCATCCTTCTAAGCTAAAAATATTCTCTAGATACAAATTTACAGTTTCATCAACACATTCATCTTCTCAACATAACACTTAACATCAAAATTGATCAGTTGTGTCTTTCGACATCACTGAAAACATTTAACAGCGGTTGCATAGAAAAAGGTAATAATATTTTGCAGTAAACTCAGTCTGTACTGAGTAATCACCAATACCATAGGTGAGCGAGTTTGGCTAAAATCAAGTTAGGCTCTTATATTCATGTTGAAACATCGACACTCATCAGCTATACCACATAAGAGGGGGGGGGGTACCTAAAAGCCACATAATACGCGTTCAGTACAAAAATAGGTAAAGATGAAGTAAAAAAGTTTATTATTGCTCATTAGGAATCGTAATTTTAATGAAACAGTATATTATTAGTTGTTATTTTTTTTAAACTCAACTAATGAAATATGATCACGCTTAAACTCAACAATCAAAAATGCTCATTAGTATCGATGAGACTGACAAGCTTTGTTAAGCCGCGTGGCTTTAAAGGCCACTCTAACAACTGATGAAACAACCAATCACGTTTATCTGTCCTATAAAAAATTGTCTTCCCATCAAAATACTGCAATCTGATTGGTTATTTTGGCAGTTGTTAAGATGGTCATTAAAGTCGCCCGTTTAGCCACACTTAAAACTTCCCATCTAATCGCAACTAATATTGTCTTGACATAGACGATTGTTAAACCAGATACTAAACAAATGACAAGTAACCCTAGAGCTCACCCTAGCAACTGCTAAAATAAGCAATCAGGTTTCAGTATTTCAGCTAACAAGACAGATTTTTATCAAATATAGAAATTTAGTTGGTTATCTTAACGATTGCTAAGGTGGCTTTTAAAAGTCACTCTGAAAGACTACGATCTTAACGAACATGGAAAAGAAACTGTCTCAAAATTTCGCATATGTCAACTAAAAGAATGTTAAACACTTACTTTGTTTATTTTCAGCATTGGTGTGTTGATAAAATCCATTTCAGGTTTCATTGGTACCTCTTCCTAATTGAGAAATGATGAGTGATATTGGGAAAGGAAAAAATAATAAAATATTGACAAAAGTGAACTGATTGTTGAAATATATATATAATATATATATTTAATTTTTTTTCTCCTGGGTTCCCAGGGCTTCAGTAGCACCCCACCATTGCATTTTCTTCTCTGCAGTCTTCTAAACCTCGCTTCACCACTGCCCACAAGCTTTCATTTCTTCCTCACGTGATCACGTCCATGTCACCCTCGTCTCGGACGCCCGACTCATCGTCTCCCCGTCGGATTACACTCGAGGACCTGGCGCGTGATGTCCACAGTCGGCCGTCTCAGTGTATGCCCGATCCATCTCCACTTCCTTCTGTATATTTGTTAGGTGATGGGTTGTTGGTTGATTCGTTGGCAGGCCAGAGTTCCTGGTTGCTTATTCTTTTTGGCCATTCGATCTTTAGTATCGAGCGTAGGCAGCTGTTGATGAATGTCTGTAGTTTGTTGGAAGTGTTTTTCGTACGCGCCAAGTTTCTGAACCATATAGCAGCACTAGCGTGACGTTGGTGTTGAAAATTTGGATCTTGTTCTTTGTGCTGAGTGCAGTAGATCTCTACACTGATTTCAGACTAATGAAAGCCTGTCTTGCTTTTGCGATCCTGGTTTTGATATCCTCGTCTGTGCCACCGCCGCCTGCAGTTGAAACGATGCAGACTAGGTAGGTAGGTAGGTGAAAGAGACAACTTCCCTTAGGTTTCTCCTGTTAATGGTGATTGGTACTTGTTGTTGATGCTGTTGTTAATTGGGTATCTTCATCACCTCTGTCTTCTCTACATTCACTTGAAGTCCCGTTTAAGCTGCCTCTTCTGTCAACTTGTTAGTTTTCGCCTGTAGATGTTCGAGTTTGTGCGACATTAAACATAAACCATTAATAGGCGAAAGTCAAAACCTCTGTGCTCTTCTCATCGATCAAACAGCATATGCCCATCTTCTCGCTCCTCACAGTTTCCTGCATGATCCAGTCCACTACAATGAGGAAGATCATCGGTGAAAGTAGGCGGAAGCCTTGTCTTACCTGTCAACCAGTCTTCACTTCAAAGGCGTCACTGAGCTTTTCATTGTGGATCACTTGACATGTGGCATTTTCATATAGCTGTTGAATGAAGTTGATAAACATTCGTGGCATTCCGTAGTGTTGAAGCAGCAGCTACCAAATTATTTCTCGGTCAACGCTGTTGAAGGCCTTTTCAAAGTCGATAAAGTTGAGGTAGAGTTGAGTTGACTGCCATTCTATATTCTGTTATATGAAGATGCGTAGTGTAGTGTTGCAATTTGATTCGCACATGATTTGTTCTTCCTGAATCCAGCCAGCCAGCTAGCCAGCCTGTTCCGGTCGTATTTTGAATCCAGCGCATCCTTTAGTCTCTCCAGGATGATGCGGCATAATATTTTGCTTGAAGTGGACAGGAGAGTGGTTCCGCGCCAGTTCTTGCAAACACTGAGGTCTCCCTTCTTCGGGAGTTTGACAAGGTAACCCTCCATATATATATATATATATATATATATATATATATATATATATATATATATATATATATATATATATATATATATGATTATTACGTATGATAATGATAATTACTAATAAAAATCAAAGCTAATCAACAATTTGGATAACAACTTCTCAAGTTTGTTTTCTTTGCTCTTGTTATGAAAATAAAGATTTCCTAATTTAATCAATACAAAATTATTGATATGTACCAATAATGGTAGGATTGGAAAATTAATTGAAAATTAGTGAATACGATTTTAACTATCATTTTATTTTTTTTAAATATCATCAATATAGGCACCTCCCTTCTTTTGTCCTTTGAAAATGTCTACATCATTTTTATCTAATAAAAATAGGTTTCAGGCTGAAATTCATCATGGACTGACTGATGTCACTAAGGGGAACATTGGAAACCTGGGAGCACTGGACATCTATTTCATCCTAGTATGGGACTTCTCAGTAGTGTGCACCCATGACCTCACCATGGATTGAACCCAGAACCTTCAGGTTCCGTAGCCAGCATATTGAGTTGAGGAATCCCGTACTAGAACGAGACAGTTGTCTAGTGCTCTTAGATTTTCAATGTTCCTCCAACTGATATCAGTCCATGATGAATTCCAACCTTCCGACAAAAATAGGTTCCATCGAAAAAAAAGAAAGAAAAAAACCATTTGAAGTAATAGGACACTAAGAATTTGTTTCTAAACATCTTTCTTCTATGATACGAGTGCATCGGCTAGTAGAGAGGATTGCACTAATTTCTTATCTATTGAAATTTGTCTAACAAAAAAAAACATTTGATTTGCTTATTCAGTGAGAAATTCAAGTGCTGAATACCACAGATATGATCTATTTTTGACCTGACTAGTGCAGCACAGAACGATTTCTAATCTCTATTAAAATATCACGAAGATGAATAAACAGAAACAGAAAGTGGTACAGAACTGCATCGCTTAAGGTTTTCCAAGTTACAAACATAAGTAAAATTAACAATAAGATTTTTTTTTTTAAAAAGGAAGGAACATAACTTAATACATTTTTTAAGAGAGTATGCATCACGGAATGACATCAGTAACCAGAACACCGCGAACCTGGAGCACTGGACATCTGTTTCGTTGTAGTATAGGATTCCTCAGCAATCCGCATCAATGACCCTACCAGGAATCCAAGTCAAGATCTTCAAGTTTCCCAGCGAACGCAGTAACCATTAGCCAATAGGTGTGAGTTCAGTAGTCTATAGTTCCCTACATTTGTCCATTCACAATAGAGCCCAATTATAACCCAATGTAATCAGTTGGGATCCACTTCCTTTTCGACTGGTTAACCCCAGAGGTCACTTGCGGCTCTCATTAGAACTTCGAGATCTCCATCTGGAAGCACGACACTAATGAGCAGTATACAGTAATGTATTCTGAGATGAATGAGAATTTTAATTTGGAGGTAGTATTCATCGCGGACTGACATCAGTTGGAGAGCTATTAGTGTCGACCTTCATCGCTCATTAAGTCACAGACTCCCACTAAATAACAACACTTTTTCAAGGTTACTCACAAACTTTAATGAGTTCATTGGTTGATCGTAAGTGTTCGCCAAATTCTATCGATCATTTTACAGTATGGCTCAAAAACTAATAGATTCACCATCACAGTATATTTCGATTATATGTCAGTTCAATGAAAGTGATCGACAGTAAGCTTTCGTGCATGTTGGCAGTCATCAGTATTACATATTGCAGCCACAGTAGAACTGATTTTCACTGAAATTCTAACCCGTATCAACTAGATCTGCAGTTAGTGACGCTATCTATCACTGAGCTATTTAAGTTGCAGCTAACATCAAAAGGTTTCTGAATGAAGCAATGCATGATACCAATTCGAATCCTTCAGGGGAAATCAGTTCCCTTCAGGTAACAGGAACGCTTTGTTTTGATGACTACCAACAAGTACGAATCTTGGGTCAAAGGGTTTCCTGCCGATTATCTTCATCCAAAAAACTCCAGTAAGTTTAAGGTGTCCTGTCGAAAATCGTAAGATAGTTAGCATTATATATTCAAACTATGTAACTGACTGACTTGTCGGGTGGATAACACAATCAGTGTAATAGAGGCCTGTACATAGAAGTAATACTTACTAATTAGTATAAACTGATATTTAGATAGAGTTTCAACTCAACAACTTACACACAACTAAATAAAGCAGATAAGTTCATTAGAAATAGTAGGCTAGAATAAAGTAAACTGTTCAAACGAGACATAGAAAGGGACAGAATACCCACCCACTATGAACTATACTTTTACTCTGTGCACAAGCGAGTTGGATATGTTTGAAAACAAGAGACAGTAGTCCAAACAAAGTTCTTTCTAAGGCCCCATTCACAGATAAACCTCCCAACTAATTTTTATAACTGTGGATAATATCACATAAGACAATGACAAGACTTGACACATATTATGAGATTTTTATAATTATCCCATATACGTATATACAGAGGAAGTATTCATCATAGACTGACATCAGTTAGAGAATATTGGAAACTTGGGGAACACTGGACAGCTGTTTCGTCCTAGTAGATGACTCCTCAACAGTACACACCATGACCTCACTAGGGATCAAACTCAGAACCTTCAAGTTTCACAACCAACGCGTTAACCATTTAATCAGTTTACATTTCCCAACTTTTGTCAATTCACGATATAGCACGACTATCACGCAATGTTTTCAGTTGATATCCACTTCCCTTTCGACTGGTTAACCCACAGGATCATGCACGATTTCTCATAAAAACATCATGATATCTATCTGGAAGCATGTCACTAATGAGCATTATACAGTAATGTATTTTTGAGATGAATAGGGATTTATAGGTAGTATTCATCACGGACTGACATCGATTGGGGAATCATTGAAAATCTGGGAGCACTGGACATATTATTATTATTATTAGTCCGTCGGGTTCCTAATGGAACATAGGGTTTCAGTAGCACGTCTCCATTACACTCTCTTCTCTGAAATCTTTTGAACCTGCCTCCACGACAGCCCAGAAGCTCACTGGACATATATATCAGGTAAATTAATATAGAATATTGGTATTCACAGACTTTCTCCGTTCAATTACAGAATGAAATATCAATAAGAACAGAAGTGAATATGTTAATAATACATTCATAATAGAACAAGTGCTTATCGAAAATGAAAAGTGATAACTAAAAAAACATCATGAAAAATCAATAAATATATCTTTGTTTCTTTGAAGTGAATAGTTATATGATAATAACTATGATGTCATTGATTTACATCAGCCCTTTTTTTATACACTTTATTTACACCTACACATATACATATCAAGCAATGATTGAAATTATTCATATAATAAATATCTGACAACAAAAAAAAAAGTAGAAATATGCACACTGATAGGTCAATCAATTAAACGTTATTCAAACCAATCAGAAATAAGAACGAATACTAAGTATCATTTATTGATTACTTGTTAAGTTTGGAATATATGATGCACGTTTGCACGCGAGCGTGTATGTGTGTGTGTGTGTGACGTGAGGGTGGGGGGGGGGACAAAGAAAACTTTAGCATGATAGATGATTATTCGTAACAGAAAGACTTATAACAGGTGTACAATAGTTACAGTAATATTGTAATTTCAAGTTAGTATTCATCATAGACTGATATCAGTTGATGAAATATTGAAAACCCTGCAGCACTAGATAACTGTTTCTTTCCAGTATGGGACACCTCAGCAACGCGCAGTAATGATCCCCTACTCCTAGGTTCCCAGTATTTCTCCAACTGATGTCAGTTCTTAATGAATACGAAGTTGGAAAATCACTAAATCCCTACAATAATAATAATTCACTTTATTCCAAAACATTTGTGGTAAGATTTGGAATTCTCGGCGCAATAACAACAAAATATAAGTATATACATACTCCTATTGCAGCCTTTCGAATTGTTTTATTATGAATCTAGTACTCATTGGTGACTAACTTCTGGAGGTGATTCCCGAACTTCCAATGAGAAGTCCTGATCGGTGAGCGAACTTGGTGGACGTGGAGATAACTACACAAGGATGATATTGGGGGGTGATGATCGTACTATACGATGAGCTGACAGAAGTAGGATACTGAACCACTGGCTCAATGGTAACATGTTGGTCATGGAACCTGAAGGCTCCGGGTTCGATTTCTAGTAGTGTGGGGTGATGGATGAGAACTGTTGAGGAGACCTATATTAGTCAGGCAAAATAGCTGTCCAGTGCTTCAAGGTTTCCAATGTTTCTCCAACTGATGTCAGTTCATGATGAATACCAATTTGAAAAACCACTAAATGCCCATAAACTTCCAAATCGAATATTGTAATTACCTTCAATAAAATGTCTAATTGATAATTTGACCAGACTTTATGACAACATATAGAGTGTTCCAATTCACAATATCGACAATTAGATGATGATGAGAAGATTGACTGTTGAAATTTCATATCATCGAATTCTTTAGATGTATTCACTTCCGATTTGATAGTTCTAGTGATAATATCAGTATTGATAGTATCATGATTATCAGTAATATTTATCGATATATCATTGAATCCATTATTCTTCAAGAAGGCATTTATATCTATAATGTCATAGTTGTACTTATTGAAATCATCTTCATCTTCTTCTTTTACTTCTAATTTCGATTCATTTTTTACACTTTGATTAAAATTTTCAATTGGTGCCTTCTTCATTGTCCATTGACATAATGGTATCCTCATCTGAATGAAAAGTATAGAAGTGAATTAATTCATTAGACTATAAATTATAAACAATAATAATCAAAATGAGTCATAGTAATATCTTAATAAGAAATAAACAAAACAGCTTCATTTCAGTATAGTATATCAAGAGAAAAGAGATAACAAACAAAAGGAAAGGACAAAATAACAACGATAATAATTAGTACAATTTGAAAGTTATTTAAAGGGAGTAAAGATATATGAAATTAAATCTTTTGAAGAATTTATACAGAAGATAAATATGAGGTGCATTTACTTCATGCAACAATAGAGGATAGAGAATTTCATAAAAACTTTCTTTCTCTAACCAAATATAAAATCTTCTTATTCTACAAACAAACGAAACAAAAAACTGCTATTTTTTAGTTGGTTGAAGGCAATTGGCAGGAAGATCTAGACGACTTAGGTTTCTTACTTGTTGGTACTCGTCAGCAAGGTATATATCTGCAATCTCAACGGAACTGATATCCTGTCTGAGATTCGAAACTGCGTCACCCAGTGTTGTAGTCAGCGACTTTCTTACTTAGCTATTGGAGACGCGTTTTACCTCCTGTAGAACTAGGTTATATGTATTGATTGGTCACGGGAGTGCAACCAATTTTATGTTGTCTAATCTTGCATGCAAACAGAATCCTATCCATCATATTTGCAATGTGGCAAACAAGCTAAGAGGCTGAGCAACCAATGTGCACCGCGATGCTGAGCCTCTTAGCTTAGTGGTCATATTGCAAATATGATCGATAGGATTCTGTCTGCACTTAGGACTAGACAACATGAAATTGGTTGCACTCCCATAACCAATCAATACAAAATTGCAATTTATTGTAATTCTCCTTTATTTTACTGGATCTAATTGTTCAATCTGTATTGGCACATGGACTCCTATGTGGATGCCTCGATATTACCTGAATGTTAACTGTGGTAATTTACTTGGTTGTGGCTATCAGAGGACTCTAGGACGCACGTTTCGTTCTATTTGGGACTCATTGGTCAGTTGGATGTACCTGCACCACACTGCAGAGTGATGTTGTTCCCACTGAGTGTTCAATAGAAGTCGAATAATTCGATCCAATAAAACAATGGAGAATTACAAGCATATAAGTAAATAGTAATAATTAATACCCGTTGTACAAGAAGTGGCTATTATGTCTCTGTAGCTTAGTGGATAACACCTTGGCATGTGAAGCGATAGGTACGAAGTTCAAGTCTCAGTGGGAACAACATCACTCCTCACTGGGGTACACATCCAGCTTACCAGTAAGTTTCAAAGAGGACGAAAAATGCCTCCTGGATTCCTCTGTTAGGCACAACCAAGCAAATTACCATAAGAAACAAAAATTGTTTATCAAACAAATAATCACAAAGCAATACATTAATCGCTGATCAATATAACACACAAGATTATAAACATATATTCATTTTGATCTTGTTGAACAGTTTGTATAATTCATTCAAAAGATATTACCACAGTTGACAACAATGATCATGTTTAAATGTTGTGATAGATTTTATTATCAAAAAAAAAACACATTTCGGAGGTCATTTAACTAAGAGAAAACTATGTCTAATCATGTATACACTAATACATTATGCAAACAAATATTCATTACACAAAAAAATATAATACACGTTAATTACCACTATGGTTGTCAACTAATTGTGTATTCGACATTTTAACCTACATATTTGAAAATTGAGTAAATTGATGATACATAAGAGAAAGACTTTACTACAGAAACATTACCAATTGGTGTTTCTTGTGGGATAAAAGTATATTATGTTCTGAGTTCAGAGAACGCAACACAACCAATATATATATATATATATATATATATATATATATATTGGTTGTGTTGCGTTCTCTGAACTCACAGAACATTATATATATATATATATATATATATATATATATATATATATATATATATATATGTCAACCGTATGAATGCTCTTTCAGTCGGCAGTGATGATTCTGTAATAACACCAAGTAAGCTATTAGATAAGCAAACTGTGTAGGGTGAAATGACATCAACAAGGTAAGTATGTTAAAGTAGTTCGGAAAGATTTCAAGTCCTCCGAGTATGATATCATGAATTATCAAGTTAGACAACTCAATGTAGTCATTAAACGAAATAAAATGTAATGAAACAAAATTCGCTGAGAACATTTTCATGCTTAACCTAATTCTAAATGAATGTACAACAAATCCAACAATTATATTGATATATAATGTACAACAAAAATAACTTGTGATTGTCTTAATTATGAAACTTTCTAATGCTTTGTGTTTGCAAGTGGGTGGGATAGACTAACAAACGCTTTGTGTAAATCCAGTAAAAATGGAATAGCAGTTGCCAGATTAAAAGTATTATCTCTGATTGGTTGAGTGTTTCAACCAATCAAATCAAGTCATGTGCTGGATGTTTTTTTTGTCTTAATTATGCTTGATTGTGTAGAATTGTTCTAATCACAAAGAATTTTTAGTTCACCTTTAAGGTTATCTTAGAAAATAAACACAATGATCAGTTAGTATTAGAAAGTTAATATTTTTTTTTGGTGCAAATATTCTTCAAACACTACTAACAGAAATTCACTTTTTAATGTAAAGGGAAAATTTGGGCACTATGGTAGAATATTATCCCATAGAGTACAGTCATACAGTATAATTTACTTGATGACGACGTTACGTAAATAAGCTACTGCTCATATTCATATCAAAGTAATCATATGACTTTCACACCTACTTTATATAGTCTAACAATTCATTCATAGTAGTAAAATTTCCCATATATGTAATCAGTCATCCCTGTTACATATGTAATGTGTGGATTCAATGAACAAAGATTTTTATGATCAATCTCTCTCTCTCTCATTCTATCCCACTTTATAGTGCGATTATCGGTCAATGTATCCAGAGTAATGTATATTTTGTAGGAAGAACAAGTCACATTTCAACGAAGAGTCTCTTTTCGGCGATTTCATTTTCAAAGCTGTACCAATCACAAATTTATACATTTTTTTTTATAGTCTAAAGATTTGATAGTTAAAAACGGTTTGTTAAGCATGGCAACATAAATAGTTGTCATTAAAATTTTTTTTTAAAAGCCAAAAAATACTGATGAGTAGCGAATATTAATTAAAATAAGTTTTGAACAAGAAGTTTGGAGATTGAATTGTGATCAGGTAGAATATGGCAACAAGAGTGAGTAGCAAATTTCTTAAGAAGAAAGATGAAAAGAAAAAAAAAGGAAGGGGAGTAGAGAGGACTAAAAACTAAGACCATGAAAGGAGAAGGGGTTGGATAATCTTCTTTTGTATACACAGTTCAGCCTTCTCTATTTGGATGACAAGAACTTTGGTGATGCAGAGACTATAAAGACATAAAGCCTTTGGAAGGTTTCTTTTCACCTTTATAAATGATTTTAAACGAGGAGTTTTTGAGATAGACTGATTTGTGTTCACGATGTGTCCAATTATTGTACTCCTTATTGCCTCATTGTTACCTCTTTGTAACTACATGGGATAGTGTTCTTGATGTATATTTCACCAAATTTTTGTGTTCTACCATTCTGATTAAGCCAGATTGGTTGCTTTAACCTATACACTTGATCTCACAATCATTACATGGTATCAGATAGATTATTTGGCTCTATTAGATCTTTCTAGCCTAAACATTTCCTCTCTGAGCGAGTTTATCAATGTAAATGACACCTTAATCCGAGTATTGTTAAGAATTCTACGTAGAATTTACGACGTACCTTCTTTATACGGCAACACTACAAAAGGATATGAATTCCCTCTTACGCACGTTGCAATCAACACTACCACTCTTTCCTCTTATCAGTCCTTATAAACCTTTTAATAAATCCCCGAGGATAGTTACTGAGAATGTGTCTCTGTGATGTATTTCATTCCTGTATTCAGGTTTTCCAACTTACTAGTTGAATTCTCAACCCGATTAGTGAAACATTTTATCAAGCCTTACTTTGACAGATACAGAGTAAGATGATATCAAATCCAAATATCTAGTCAAATGTGTTGGTTTCCTATAAACATTAGTATCTAAGCTTCAATCCTCTCTCCTCTTGATTTTACAATCCAACATAGGTGGTAATTCTCTTCCTTCACTTTCTAATTCGTAAGTGAATTGGATCACATCTACTATTGAGTTAATGTGTGCAAAAAATAAATCTCTGGATGTTTTCTGATTTCAGTATAGTGAATGTATCATCTACATATTGTCACTATACTTTTGGGGTAAGTTGATATGTTCCTAATCCTAGTTGTTCCCAACTGTCTGATTGCAAGTACTTCTGTTTGTTTATATATTTTGTCTTATAATTTAATAACTGTGGAAGTTAAACACAATTTTATCCTTACTATAATTTCTTTAATAGAAACTTTTGTGTTATATTTTACTGGGTTCATGGACAGTTGTGAGTTCATTTCTGACTGCCCCAAGTGCCACATACTGTATTATATCTATATTGGGTGATGATTGAAGGTGAAATGACACTTTGGACAGCGGCTGGATTCGAACCAGTGACCACCGGGGTTTCCAGCTGGATGCTCCATCAAATGAATTACGAGATCTGACTACTGACCAGATGTTTATTTCACTTTAATATAAATAATAATCTGCCGAACTACTACTATCTCACATAGTCAAAATGATAATCAATATGGTGCTTTCACTCTCTAAATCAAGGAGATTTTGACTGGGATAAGTCCTGATTAGGTAGTTAGTGTGAGAACGATCAAGCGGTAGTAGAGCGCCATGATGAATCCCACATGGTAGTTAGACAAAACCTTTGGTGATAGAAGTGAAATAAAAATCTAATTAGTAGTCAGAGCTCATAGCTCAGTTGGTAGAACATCGGGCTGGAAACCCGGTGGTCGCTGATTCGAATCCGGCAGTGGTCTAAATGTTCATTTCACGTTTAATCATCACCCAGTATCAATAAGGCAAATCTGCCAAACCACAGCTATCTCAGATAGTCAAAGTGATAATACCACTGTGTACTACATCAAATAAACAACATAATATGGAAGAAATCCAATCTACTGAATAAGGAATTTCCATTCTACAGCGAAATCATTTGGACTTCAGAGGAAACACATTATGAAATTCGTAAAAATCTTCTTGACCGATTAAAATATGTTGTATATCGTATATTATTTATTATTAATATCATATTCTATAAGTTGTAATGTAGCTGAAGAAAACCCACGAAACACATGTATGCTAATTCTGTTATTATTGTTCTTTTTGGTTTATTCAAATTTAAAATAAGTAAAAATCACTTGATTAATAATCTAACCTCAGGAATATATTTTGGACGTGCTGGATCACATCTTCGTTTTTCTACAGATTCTGCAACTGCTTCAATACGTCCCCTATCAGTACTACAAACAAGTCCATTGAGGAAATCACTGAAATCCATACTCTAATAACAATATCAAGAAAGAAAAGGAAGGTGAAATATGATACAATTTAGAAAATTTATTTATATACCCTGAAAAACAATGAAAAAATAAAAGAAAACAATAAATTTATTGATACTGGTACTCAGACAATCGTGAAACACTTTAATACACAAGAAATATCAACACTCCAGAGAATATATATATATTCACTACTGAATCGTTAAATACACCCAATATTTCAGAGATGATGAACAACTTGCTTAAATTTCATTCAATTTCTAAAATTACCGGGCTAGTGTAGAAAAGAGTGAAAGGCATTGGAGATGGAGACAGTAAGATACACAAAAATACATTACTACTATAACAAGTTTTCAACATAACAAAGTTTCTATAGCACACAAATATGAACTGATTATAACTTTAGAAGTTGTGAAGCATACTACCAAGAATTGTTAAGAATGGCTGCCTCTTAAAAACTAACTTATATATATTATTTCCATTCTAAAATTTAAACCTTGTTTCTGTACCTTTTCTGTTTGATGCAATGTTACTTATTTTTACCGCGGTTTAAGATACTAAACGCTGATTGGTCCATTTTACACTTTTAATATGCTATTTTGTTTTCCTTGGTCAAGGTCCTTATAGCTATATAATCGCACTATTTCAATTGAAGTAAATACATCTTGAATCTTAATGTATTTTTCTTTTGATGTCAATTTAAGTATTTTGTTGAGAAGTTCATTAGTCTATCGTTAATCGTATCGCATTGGAGCATTATATCGTTCATATATAAAAAAAAATACCATAGAATAAAGCACACAAAAAAGTGAGATTTGAAAATGAATTTTAAAAAATCCATATTTTTACACCTTTAATCCGTATTCAACTTTGATGGAGAGAGAGAAAAAAAACAACAGATTTTATATGTAACGAAATAATAAAAAAAATCAATAAATTGAAGTCGAAATTACTGCATATGCCTTGAAGAAACTTGTTTTTGTTTTTCTGAATGTACAGTGAACGTACATTTTACTTCTCAAGAAAACATTCTACACGACAATCAGTCAGTGTTAATATGCAATCCAGCAATGAGTCCAATACTAGGGTGTTTCTATTGAAATTCTATTAAGTCTTTTATAAGGCATAATAAGTCCTAATATAGCTACTATAACAAAGACAAGGAATTGTTAATTCTAAAGAGGAAAGAAGAAGTGAATATACATGAGACACGTTCAGAAGACAAAAGGGGAACGGTAGTATTACTTACTTAAATGTCCTAATGACAAAGATTATATATTGAAAACTAAAACCATTTGATAAAGCATACTCATTTTTTTGAGTTTCACGCCGTTACAGATGATACTTTATATAAGGATCTGAAAGTTATTCATGCTCAATAGTAACTGATATTAGATAAAGTTTCTAAGTCTATAAGTTCCCCACAAAAATCAGGTTTTCAAGAAATCACTTTTCAATTTGGGGTTTTTTTGGGAGGGGGGATTTAGTGATACTCCATGTTGATATTCATCGTGGACCGACATAAGTCAGAGGAACATCGGAAACCTGAGACTATTGGGTAGCCAGCTGTTTCGTCCTGGTATACGACTGCTCAGCAGTGAGCACCCGTCACCCCAACCTACCAGGGTTCGAAACCAGGACCTTCATGTTCCGTGGCCAGCACGTCGCCAGTGAGTCACTTGGGTAGGAATCTAATGGTTTATATTTCCTACTTCTATCAGTTCACGATATGGTGCGATCATCACCCAAAGTCATCGTTGAGTATTTATCCTCACACCCGTCAGGTTTGCTCCACCGATCACAACTTCTCATTGGAAGTTCGGGAATCACCTCTAGAAGCTAGTCACCAACGAGCACTAGAAGTTGGAAATATGGACTATTGGATTCCCTTCCAGTGGTTGAATGGTGAAGTGCTGACCACGGGACCTGAAGGTCCTGGGTTTGATCCCCGAACTGGCGGGGTCGCGGGTGCGCACTGCTGAAGAGTCCAGTGCTAGGACAAAACAGCTGTCCAGCGCTCCCAGGTTTCCTATGTTTCTGCAACTGATGTCAGTCCATGGTGAATACCAACTTAAAAATCACTTTTCGAAACTGTAATTTTCGGCTGACATGCTCAGCGAAATTGTGATACATTCCCTAAGAAGTGCTGTCATATAATACTGAATACAAAAAAAAGAGATTTTTCTATTTCTTTTCAGTCAACCAGTACAACTTTTATGAGTCAAAGACAGACTGTTCGATTTCACCTGGGTCAACTGCTCCTCTGTTTAACCAGATAGATTGGACATATGATTAGGCACATTTGTCGTTGAAATAGATAAATATTATTATAAAGTACTATACTCTCACATCTTTCCGATACTGGATATAGAATTGAAGTTGACAATATTTTTCAAGTTACTAATCATATTGCATCTCATAACTTACTTATGCTTTACAAGTATGCTTGTATACACCATTGAGACATACCTAAACAATTCAATCTGTATACTTAGAATAGATCAGGGCAACCTTTTTTTTCTGATAACTTAGCTATCCACATAACTGATCTATGCAAAGATGATCCTTTTGCTTAATCACCTTAAAAATAATTACTACTAATATTATTACAGTTTTTGGCGTTTTTCCCTAATTCTTCTTTTGTAATTGTTGTCAACAAGTGGGCAGTTGATATAGGCACTCATTCCCTCTTCTTAATACTCACTAATATGTAAACTATCAACTGTTTAGTAAACTATTTCAAATTTTTAGTTTAGTAAAGTTTATTGTATTTATTACACCATGAAACAGTATTATTAACTGGTATATAACAACATAACTAAATTATAGTTATTTGAAACTTGTAATTTCCTGTTGCTATACAGAGTCGAATTGTTCTACCTCTATTGGCAGATGGGCTCCTACTGTCGTACATTTATGATGTTGTATTTATTTTGGTGACACGCAGAGATGGAGCATTCTACCCTGTATAGCAACAGGAAACTACAAGTATCACCAAATAACAACTGATATCTATTGGACAAAGAGTAACTCTCGTGCTCTAGCGGTCTTGTGGATGACACTTTGGTGTTTAAAGCGATGGGAACTAGGTTCCAGTCACAGTGGGGACAACATCACTCCGTACTGGGGTTCAAGTACATTCAGGTGACAAGTGAATCCAAAATAGGACGAAGCGCGTGTCCTAGATTCCACTGTGACTATCCAAGGTGAACTTAAATTATACTGTCACAGGGCTTAGATTCTGCTCTCTTTCACTTTCACAAAATAACTGGGCTGTCATTCTATTCCATAGTTGCTGTCTTAACCATTAGATAAATTATCAATCTGGAATAGATAAATTCGTATAAAACTAGCTGATCGTCGTTAGATTAGTTAGTCCACTGTTGTATTGTATTAACAAACCTAATAGTTAGTTCAGAGCTGTTGTTGAGGAGCCAGCGAATTGAAGATTTTCTCCGTTTGAATTTTCGCTTTAGAATCCCCGAAGAAATAACTTAGTACCTTTGTCAATTACGTATCGGCTGTGTCTGTTCGATTTCACACTGATATGACCAAGGGGAAAAGTAGTAAAAAGAAATCCGAAGGGGGTTAATCTCAGTTAAAGAAAATTTTAAAGAAAAAAAAGAAAAAGAAAACACGCAAGATTTAAAACTGAAATAAGGTGTGAATGCATCTCAGCCACCATAACAGATTTTGAACTATGCTTATCACAATTGCTTCAACTTAACAACTAGAGATTAGAACGAAAGAGTCAGTATAGAAAAATGGAACAGTCATTGTCGATTGGCTTTAATTCAGACAGCAGATATATTGGCACTGACTCAATCTATCAACCAATAAGAAACAACAAGGTCAAATTTCAGGTCATCAGGACAACCAATCAAAATAGACATAAAGACAACGACAAGACCTTGGCAAAAACAACTAATCACACACAAGGTTATGAAGATAACCTATTAAATAAATTGCGGAGAAAACCACGTAGCTCACTTCTTTTTGAATTTTGTGCGGATGTTGGCTAGACTGACAATGAACGCTCCACGATCAAACAGTCTAGCTCTCAACTTTGTAAAATATCTCATATCATGAAGATATTGTTGAACATCCCATGACAACCTGATTAGAAGTATTGCTGCTTTGACTTTTACCTAGCTGCTGTTCATGATTGATGATCCCTTTTCGCTCAACTGTGAAAGATATTATTATCACAGATGCCGTTGTAGTAAAATTAGAAAGTCATTTGAACGGAGACAATCGGAAGGAAGCCCTGCTCAACCTATGTTTCATGTTTTTGGCATTCATCAGCAAAGTGTATCTGTAATCTCGATGGAACTGACGTTCTGCCTGAGCTCCAAACCCATATCACCAAGTGTTGTAGTCAGCGAAGTTACCAATGGGCTATTCAGATCACATCTGACCTCCTCTATGACTGGGTTAGATACATTGATTTGTTGCAGATATGCCTTGTTGATGAGTGCCAACAAGCACGAAACCTAGGTCGAGCAGGGCTTCCTACCGGATTGCCTCGAACCAACTAACATGTACCAAAGTGCACCATGATGGTGAACCATCTAGTTTAGTCGAGGCATTGTGAAATGATCGACAAAATTCGCTCGCCCTTCAGGACCAAACAATACGAATTTGGTTACTTTCTCGTGACCAATCAATGTAAAATTAGAAAGTGTCAGAAAACTAGTCTAATGACAACGAACAATGCAGTAAGGACACAAAGGAGTGTAGTTCTTAAATATGTTTTATTTAACTACTTTACGCATGCCAACAATTCAAACCAAAGCGATCAGTCTTCTAAAGGGTGTTTTTATCACCCACCCACTTATCACTTGATCGACACAGCAATAATCTTGTTTTCCGCATTAAGCTGATAACTCATATTAGGCTAAAACATATGAAGAGATTATCACACTTGAACAGCTTGTTAAAGAATAGACAAAATGTAGTTTTTTTAATCTTCTGATGTAGTAGCATAAAAAGCGGCCTGCTTAAGACATGAGCTACCAAAAAACTTTCCATCAGTTATATTTCATCAAATTCTTCACTTCCACTTTCTTTTAATCTTTCAAGTGTCTTCTAACTACATCATATACTCTTCCACCTTTTTAAAATGTTTCCAAACTTTCCTTTTTCAAGCTAAGAATAAAACAAAGGAAAACGCATTCAGTCGGTTGGAAATGGATTTTTAAATACTCATACACCACTTTCCTATTCCTAGGAATACACCTATATGGGATTATGAATTTCTCTATGCTGACTGACTGATCTACCACAATCAAAATTACACTCAATTGTGTGTTCATTTCCCAATCGACAACAGATGACAACACATATGTAACACACACTAGCTGCCCGTTTCACAATTATCCCATCATTACTGTTATTATTAACATCATACAGACGTGATAAGTATTTCTTGTACGGGAAGCGAATTAGTTGGAATATTCCATGCTGAAAATTCCATACATACTGTATCATACATACTGTTTAGAATAAAGCGACCATTATTATTATTATTATTATTATTATTATTATTATTATTATTTATTATTAAACTCGGTTTAGTAACTGACTTTGTTCTCTCAGCTTTTAGTGCTACTAAAAACCTGGAGGATGAATTTTTCCTTCGAAAGGAAAACACGTTTGTTTTCTAAATATTTCAGTCATACTTTTATTTACAGTACCGCTTGTAGAATGATATCGAGTATTACTCCATTGAACTTCTGATAATTGTACTACAATACAATTATTGTTGTTTTTCTACTTTGTTATTGAAAAGTCATTCTCAATTAAGAAGTTTCCATGTTTACACGAGTCAAACCTAGAATTCTCAACAAGATGAACAGCTGAAATCTCCTAAGTAAGCATGATAAAATAAACAATTTATTTCATGGTTCGAAATCATAAAACCAGTAAAGAACACAAAACCACTAATTTATCATTTGTTCGATACAACTACTTAAAACAGACATAAGTAGTGGTCCAGTTTAGAAAAAATATAGCTATTTCTATGTTATCACATTCAAACTGATGAGACGTCATGAAAGAGTTTCAAAAATGTTATTCACAGACACGTCATTACACAACTCTACACAGAGATAGATCAAGTCGTTCTACCACAGTTCAAAACAACATAGAATAGATAGCTAAACAGTGGTGATAGTAGGACAAACAAAAATGAACATGATAGGGAAACCACTAATCATGGCCGGCAAAATTGTTCTAAATTGCAATGATAACGAGCGAATAAATCTGCACTGCCGTTAATGACCTTTAGGTGTATCACCAACAGTCTCCAACCCCTGGGTCCTAGACACAAGAGTCTGCACTTCCCTAACCGACTGAAAACAACAATAAAAGACTTGATACATTGAAGCTACTTTTTTGCCCATCCATTTTTAGTTGATTTCCCACCTAATAAGACGTAAGCTAAAATTGCTTTTCGGCGAAATTGGTACCACACCATAGACATACTAACCAGCGCAGGTTCATAAGCTACCCGGTTAACTCAGGCACATTACTTAGCAGTTTATACCTGACTCCATTATCGCTCACCTAGTGATGCTACTATACAGTTGACCTATGATCAAAAGCATATGGTAACTCATATTTTTTATCTCTAAAGACCATAGTTCGAAACCTCAAGCAAAGACAGAGGAAAACTATTGCAGAGTATACTCATCCCTAGTTGTGCTCAGACTTCACAGAAACTAATCCACTAGGGTTTATGAAACCTGTCAAAAAAGTGAAACGGTCGATACATCCCACCCTATTCACTCTTGATACTTAAAAGGGGAGTTAGAACAGATTACTTACAACAGTATCATCTTACATTCGATGAGTGCGGAACCCATAATAAAGATACTCAGGATTCCGTCAAAGCACTCAGGAGATTCAACATTTTGCTAATGTTTTCACTTCATAAGACTATGTCGCTTACTTACTCTAGGTCGAAAAGATGCTTTTTATACAGTACACCACACCCATGAATACTTAAAAATAAAGTTTAATAAAAGTGTTGAAAATGAGCATATCTAGTGGACATCACTGGTTGTTGTCAACTGAGGCGATACTTCTCTGTTACCTCTTACACATTTACATGATTTAATGTGAAGACCTTTCATTAGCATAATATACTTTCTTGTTGCTCACGTTATAGTCACTGACTGCTGCATCACCTCTCTGTTAATATGTTCAATAAACGTCTTCATATCAAGGTATATAACAATTGTGTGGCCCTAGTAAATATGCCAAATTTCTAAAACCTATTGAAAAGTGAAGATCTTATCAATACGCCCCAGTCTAAGACTGTAACCTTATTGGTTTGCGCGGGGTTTTTGTTCTCAAGCCCCAGTTAGGCATTAAAAGACTATGGATACTAAGAAATTAAGCATTATCGTAATTTAAGTAGTTTCTACATGGTTGGTTATAACAAAAATATTTTCTTCCTTCTCTAAGAATCATTGAAATTCCAATCCAGATCAAAGACTGTTGCTAATACTGATTGATTTATGCTTAATGAAACAAACAGAACAAGTGGCTTAGTCATCAAGCCATTTAGAATACAGCCTGTGAACTGATAAGGTTTAGATAACATTCATTGTCTGCAAAAAGATCACCTCTTCCTTTATGCTCACAGTCTTGACACTAACTGAAGTGTCGGGTAGATCAAATCATGGTTTCCACGGGAAACACAGTAGTGAGATTTCTCACTATGGTATTTTTGTACATACCTAATTAGAATAGCAGTTTTCCTTGAGAAAAATTTCAGTATTATTTGAAGGAAACACCTATCAACTTCTTGGTAGATAAAAGTCTCGCTGATTTTCTTGCTAAACTCGTCAGGAGTCATAAATTTACTGCTCCGGTAGTCCAACTATTGCTTATTGTAAGAATATGAGTATGGTTGACACACTTATTTTCTCAAAGTTAATAAAGGTCTTATGTTTAAAGTAGTATTCATCACGGATTGACATCAGCTGGAGAACCATTGAAGACCTGAGAGCATTGGATAGCCATTTCGTCCTAGTACTCTCCTCAGGAGTACGCACCCACCATGCAACTAGGGATCGAACTTAAGAAATTCAGGTTTCAACGTGAACGCGTTAACTATTCAGCCACTGTATAGTGCTTATTAGTGACATGCTTCCAGATGAACATCCCAAAGTTCTAATGAGAAGCCGTGACCTGTAGGTTCAACTAGTCGGAAGTGAAACGGATGCCAACTAAAGACCTTTGGTAGATGGTACGCTGTATCGCGAATTGACAGAATTCGGAAATTGAGGACCATTGGCTCAGTGGTCAATGCGTTCGCCATGAAACCTGAAGGCCCAAGGTTCGACCCCCAGCCACGTCGTTGGTGCGCACTGTCAGAGTCCAATAATGGAACGAAACGGCTTTTCGGCGCTCTCAGGTTTTTAATATATATATATATATATATATATATATATATATATATATATATATATATATATATATATATATATATATATATGTCTTGGAAACAAACAAAATTTCTGCATTATGTGAATTTTTCAAGCTAGGGAACGAATAGTGGTTCCAATCTATGACCTAGTGGTTAAGAGTTGACAACCTGAACCAAAGAATTCTGGTTTCTACTAACAGTGAGATAAAAGGAGGTTTCGACTCATGTGCTGTAGACTATCGTTTAAATTAGATGGATAAACGTTACTCTGTCGAAAAGAAACCGAAATGAACTCAGCAACCATGTGCACATTCATTTAGTAGGCAATGAGTATGAGGTTTAACGGTGCTAACCTGGCTGATAAAATCTCGATAGATGATGCTAGGTTCGAACCCGTGGACTTACTTATTGGAAGTTGAGTGGCTGAACAGACAAGTCACAGCTCCACACTCTACTCCCGAAACTTTCTATCTCAGGACATAAGCCAAACTATATTCTGCTTACTTGGAGTTAATCAGAGTGTGGAAGTTAAACAATGACACACTTACTTGAGAATAGAGTCTATTCTGTACAACCACAGCTGCATAAACGAATTATAAAACAGCGATGCACTAGAGTGTAAGTCATAACTACCACGTGGAACTTAGCATCACTACTTTATTGTTAACCAAATGGCCTAAATCTGTGATGGAGACTAAAGTGTACGTCGATTTTACGTAGCAACTAGCAACATGGTTTCATTTCTTAAAAAGAAGTGGTTCGAAATAGGCAGCCATACACGATTATCTGTAATAACTATGAGAAATATTACCAAAAAAATTTCTTACCGTAAGTGATTGAATTCCAAGTGGTATACATGACTACAACCATCATTTGGTTCAGCTGGTAAAACTGACATACACAATTATCCATATTATCAAATAACGCCGCCCATTTAGGATGCTGATTACTTTTACACACTGCTGAAGTAAACCATGTTTCACGTGAAGTAACTAAAAATTCACCATTACTAATCCACATTCCTTCACGTCCCATAAAACCATGCACTGGATTCCAACTGATTTCACCTGATTCTGAAGTGAAACATACCGAATCATTCAAATCCCATATACCAGCAATACGTTCCAAGCCTAGAATTAGGAGAAAATCAATAATATTATTTGTACAATTATCATATGAAATGTGAAGATACAAGTTAAAGGTGTGCTAGAAGATAAACAATCAAAGTGACCATATTTCAGCATAGAGTGATATTGATTTAGTAGCACCGGGAAGTTACTTCCTCTTAGATGTCCAGTACTCTTAGGTTTTCATTGGTACATAAGAAATGATTAAAGTAAAAGAGTTGGAAGGGGCAGACTCTTTGAAATGCTAAAAACTCAGACAATGAAAGAAGCAAAAAGTTGAATAAATCCTAAAATGACATGTATAAATAAAATACTAATTACACACAAGATTAACAATTCAAAGTTATACAATCCATTTACCTTGTACAAATAACATTTTTCCATTTAAAGGATGAAGAGATATTGTAATAACTGGACTACTTGTTAAACGTGACATTTTCACTGGCGCTAAATGATTAAACTTAGATGAATAGACCAATTCATTGAGGCTACTCAAATTATAATAGCATACATGACCTAAAATATAAATCATGATAATAAATACATAAAATGATAAGAAAGATATTGAACAGAATAGACAATCATAATAAAAAATCATGCTTACAAAGTTATCTTCTGACCATAAATAAGTAAGAGATATTTTTTCCAGATAACTTGAAAGATTATTTTCATCATGAATTAACTATACTTTAGGCATTATTGATAAAATCACCAGGATAGAATTCGGTCAGTACTCAGGACTAGAACAGTATGAAGTTAATTGCCCTTTAGTGACCAATCAATGTATCTAAACCAGTCCTAGACGAGGACAATTGTGGCTCGAATAGCTCAGTGATAACATGGTTGACTACAACACTGTTTGACGTAAATTCGAATCTCAGGCAACATATCACTTCCGTCAAGGTTACAAATACACCTTACTGATGAATGCTAACAAGCATGAAACCAAGATCCAGGGTATCTTGACAATTACCTCCAACCGACTAACACTGACTTCAATCGAGTATTGACCGTTCTAACCTCTTTAACCTGATTAACTCTAAAATTTCTTTTCCCAGAATTTAAACTAAAAGCTTAGTAGATCATGATGTAAACACTGCTAAATTTAGGACTATGATAAAGGGATCAAAAAGTTCATCGATGACGGTCCCGACCGATAGCTGCTACCTTGACGTGGTGGTCGGGCTTGCATATCACAATGACCCAACGAGCTATGCTGGTGGAACGCTTGTTCCCTCGAGGTCCTACCATACCAGAAAGGTCTGTTGGGTAGTGGTTAGACGAAAAGCAGTTACCGTCATAGTGTAAATTGCTATACTATGATGGGGGTCTGAGGGCGAAGTCGTACTGCTGCTAGCTGGATGGGGTGTGACAGCAGTAAGGTGTTTCCCTTGGATGACCAGCAGTGCCAAGCTGATGCTGCCTTCTCAGTGGAAGGGGGGGTTAGAAAAGGTCGGCCCCAAAAATAACACACTCCACCACGCCCCACGGTCTGCCGGGCCGGCGGTGTTGGTTCACTTGTCGTTTCCTTTCGCTCATCCGGCCCCAAAAATACAAAAATTCAAAATAATCATACTCAAAAGGCTGGGTGTGACAGGCCTCAAGCAGATGTCCGATGGGCTCTGCGGTCACACAAATCTCTTTCAGGTACCTTAAGAAGAAATAGCCTTCCACGGTGTGGGCAGCCGGGAAGTGTCAACCGCCCTCACAACTCTGTCAGCACCCAAGTTTCTTCTGACTGCTATCCTCCTCCTCCATCATTACCTTCTAATCTTCCTTCACGTCTCTTAATTAATGATGCTGCATCATCTTCAATTTCTCCTACCTCTGCAGCCTTCGACAACGATCTGAGTCCACAGAACAGTCCCTGGTCTCCTTAAACCACGCTCCAAATTACATATTGGAGCCTTCAATGTCCGCACCCTCCGTCAAATTGGCCAACAGGCTTCGTTGGCAAAGACTCTAGCAACTCGGGCATGGATGTGTGCTGTGTTTGTGAGACACGCATACAGGACCCAAGTGTGGTTATTCACCTGACCTCTCCTGACCAATCTGGTGAATCTGCAAAATTCACCCTTCGAGTTTCTGGAGATTCGATAGCTAGCTCTCGTGGTCTTGCAGGTGTAGGTATAGCATTAAGCACCAGGGCAGAAAACTCACTACTAGACTGGATCCCAGTTGATAGTCGCCTCTGCGCTATGAGGCTGAACGGCACAGTGAGAACTAAAAGGAATAGTGAGACTCGCCGTTGTCTCTTTGTAATCTCTGCTTACGCACCCACTGACTGTAGTTCGGATGAAGTGAAGGACGAGTTCTACCATAAACTGTCTAACCTCCTCTCGAAAGCCAAACGTTCGGACGTAGTGGTTGTTGCAGGTGACCTCAACGCACAGGTGGGTAGACTGAGTGAGGCAGAAAGGCACTTAGGTGGCACTTTCGGAATCCCAGCTGAACGTACAGATAACGGTGATCGCCTATTACAACTATGCTCAGATAACCGCCTATTTTTAGCCAGCACAAATTTCAGACATAAAGAAAGGCACTGTCTGACCTGGCGTCCACCGAGCTCGACTCAGCGATGGACACAGATAGACCACATTGCTATTAGTCATCGCTGGAGAGGATCGGTGGAAGACTGCCGCTCCTTCTGGAGTACGTGTTTGGACAGCGATCATGCGTTGGTCCGAGCACGTATATGCCTGCGTCTCAATGGACGTAGAAAAAATTTGGCAACAAAACCACTACGAGTTCTGCTGGACAACGAAAACACCAAAGCCGTGTTCAGTGAGAAGTTGGCTAGGCAGTTATCGGAACAAAAGACTGTCACTCATCCAGAAGAAGCTTGGTGCCATCTTCAGTCTACTGTAAAAGCAGCACTGGAGACTGTAGCCGACTCCAAGATAATGGCTAAAAAGAGCCAGTGGATATCAGCAGCTTCTTCCAAACTAATGGATGCACGTGAATGCATCCCTGCAGGCTCTGAGTACAATGAAGAGCGAGCGCAACTTAAAAATAAACTGACGAAAAGTCTGCGCAACGATCGTGAACAGTGGTGGGCAGCAAAGGCTAAAGAGATGGAAAAGGCAGCGGCGATCGGTAACAGTAGACAGTTATTTAGACTTATTAAGGAGACTGGGGGGAAATGGTCAACAACAGTTAGTGAGGTTATAGCGGAGAAGGACGGATCGGCGATTCACTCGCAGGGAAGGCGACTGGGACGATGGGCAGAACACTTTGAGGAACAGTTTAACTGGCCTCCAGCCACCATTGCGCTGCCCGCTATCCAGTCGGACCCTGAATGGGACATAGAGACAGGTCCCCCAACACTAGAAGAAGTTGAGAAAGCGGTAGGTAGCCTGAAACGGGAAGGGCAGCAGGACCAGACGGACTACCTGCTGAGGTATACAAGAATGGTGGTAGAGTTCTCTTAGTCAGGCTAACGGAAGTGTTAGCCAGTATATGGGAATCAAATACGATCCCCTCCGACTGGTCTAAGTCACTGATCATCCCAGTCTTCAAGAAAGGCGAGAAGTCCTCTTGTGATAACCACAGAGGAATCAGCCTGACAAACATAGTGTCTAAGATCCTAAGTTCTATAATTCTCCGACGCCTGAGTGGAGCTCGGGAACAGCAAGCCCGAGAAAACCAGGCAGGCTTTAGACCTGGCCGTGGATGTATCGACCAAATATTCACACTGCGCCAGGTCCTGGAACATAGGCATGCTTACAGACGCCCGACAATAGCTGTATTTCTCGACCTGAAGGCGGCATTTGACTCCGTTGATCGAGAAGTCTTATGGCAGTGTCTGTCACTGAAAGGCGTGCCTAGTAAGTACATCACCTTATTGAAAGCTCTCTACTCGAACACTTGTGGGCATGTTAGAGCCTATGGTGAGTTGTCCAGGGAGCTATACTCATCAAGTGGTGTCCGTCAAGGATGCCCACTATCCCCATTCTTATTTAATTTTATCATAGATATTCTTATGGAGGTTTCCCTCTCGTCACCTAATTACAAAGACGTTGACCGGATCACAGGTGAATTTTCCTTAGATCTAGAATATGCAGATGACATAGTCCTGTTAGGTGAAGACGCTGACAAGATGCAGAGTCTTCTGAACACTTTGAGTGGGAATTTGAGAATGTTTGGGATGCGATTTTCACCACCCAAATGCAAATTTTTGCTCCAGGACTGGTCTTCAGCGGTACCGCGGTTAACAATAGAGAGTGAAGTGGTTGAGTGTGTTGACCACTTCACTTACCTGGGAAGTAGGATCAACCCGGTGGGTTAGTTGCCGATGAGATTTCTGCACGGATACAAAAGGCTCGATTGGCTTTTGCCAATTTGCGCCACCTATGGCGCCGCCGTGATATTCGTTTGTCTATTAAGGGTCGCGTGTACTGCACAGCAGTCCGCTCTGTTCTACTGTATGGCTGTGAAACATGGCCATTGAAAGTGGAAGACATGAGAAGGTTACAGGTATTTGACCACCGTTGCCTTCGTAGTATAGGACGTATTCCGTGGTGTCACCATGTGAGTAATGCAGAAGTTAGGTGTAGAGTTTTAGGGAGAAGAGGTAAGTCAGTCGACGAGGTTGTGAACCTTCATCGACTGAGATGGTTGGGACACGTACTACGTATGCCTAGTCACCGATTGCCTCGTCACACAATGTTGGCTGAGGTGGGTTCAGGCTGGAAAAAGGCCCGAGGTGGCCAGACTAAAACATGGCACCAATGTATGAAGTCTCTGACTGTTGGTTTAAGCCATGTAGGACGATGCAGACTAGGTGGTTGGGGTCCACGGGACAAGAGGAACCAGTGGTTGGAGACCCTAGGTGATATGGCTCAGAACCGAAGTCAGTGGCGCAGATGTATACACACATTATCCTCATCTTAACAACGCTATACCGAATCTCACTATTTTGTCACTCCTCTTTCCTTTCTTCTCATACTTTATATTTCTTTTGACTGCATTCACTTATCTTCATCCTTCACCTCACTACCTTTTTACTTGATGTGCTGATATGAGGTGTGGCAACTCGGACCGTTACGCAGTAATGCCTGGTCCTATGTTGATAATGATGATGATGATGATGATCGATGACGGCTTCTAAACTTTATCGGAAATCAATTCACTCTGAAAATATTTACTACATGATTGATAATATTGGTTCTCAGCTCCATTTTATTAGTTTAGTGTTACTAGAACACAAGGGCACTAACAAATGCCAAACACAAAAAAAAAGACATTATGAAGGTATAAAGAGAAGGGAAGTGGATAAAAATAAAACATAATAAGAATACAATGATTAGAAGGGCTGTCCAGTAAGGTAGATTCGAAAAGAAACATTCACTATCTTTCAGCAGTACAAGATAGGAGGAAGCTACAGTTTGACCACCGCTGCTTTTCATTCTCAGCCATATCTCATAAAGTCTCAAGCAACTAAGTTGCGTAATCTCTCCGACTCTATCCAGGTAGTCGTGATGTACCAACAGATACTAACCCGATAAAATTATCCTTCAACTTACAGCGCCACGTTATACGTTGACCACTTGTACACTTCTTCCACAGGGCTAGCAAACAATGAAGCTGTTGGGAGAATATGCGTAACACATATCTAAGACACTGAAGCTGGTGTTTTCAAAAGACTTCACTTATTGAATGATGATCTCCATCATGTTCAAACACGCTGTCGTACCTGACAATTACTTACATGTTGTTACTACTGGATACGAGGAATCCTAAAGAGGCAACGAGGATCGAACACACATACACGTCGCATATCCTTATCTAGGAGAAGCCAGGTTTCACATGCGTAGAGCAGAACTAAACGCAACGAAGTGTTGTAAACCCGATATTTTACGGTTAGGCCGACGTCGTAACGTCATTAAAAATGGCTCAGATCGGCGTATGCCACTCTGATTTCTAATAGACGGTTAGAAATTTCTTTTCATCTCAACCCGATGATATATATTGGCTGATGGGATGTTGTACATTTAAAGCACTTAAACCCAATTAGTGTCTACTAACACGTTAACTAATAAACAACTTCAGATAGCTGGCAATTAAAACTAAAAATGTTAATTAAGCATTTATTCAACACCTTACTTATGCACAGTTTCAATTCACTTTTAAATAATTATCATCAATTATAGAAGTTGTAGTCTATAATAATTCACTAATGAGTTCCCAAAGCTATGGAATTAAAATTTCAAATATACAGATGTCAGAGAATAAAGCTTGGCAAATCTCACTAATAATAATAGTAATAATAATAATAACAATACAGCTCTGCTTGATATAGGCTTATGTACTACGTTATGAGACACAATTGTCATTAGAGAGTGTATGATACTACCCAATCGTGTAAACCGCAATAAGTGAAGTAGGATCCGAAGCCAATTCAATAAGTCACATCTTCATCAAAATTCTTTACATGTGTGTAGTTATTTTATGATTATGTAGATGATTGTTAAATACGAGAAAATACATTTTACCAACGGTTACTGTTCAGTAATACATACTGTTAATATCTTATGAGATAAGAATGCTTTGGATTTTAAGTAGCCGAATTAAATGAACTGATGATTCTCAGTCTTCATGAAATGAAATGATTAAAACATGTACAGAATATGTCTAACAATTGCTTACCCTGACAACAAGACTAAGTGAATGAATGAAACCGTAAGTAAACCACGGTTAAATATGACATTAACACAGTAAGAATATGAATGGAAATGTAAGTACAGAGCGATTATAGGAAAGCTATACTATGGCTCACCTTCCAACTAAAAAAATATCCCTTGAAAGTTAGACATTGCCCGCAATGGATGTAAATAGACAGAATCTATTACAGTCAAATGCTGGATACATTGAATATATTGTTATACTTAGCACTATAGTAAGTTGTACCTACTATCAAGTCATGGACAGTATCCCTTTCAATTTGAAATCATCCAAAACTATATAACTTGTATAACAGGGATTGTTTAAATAAGAACTATTTCTGCTTTCATAATATGCTTAAAAGTATAAATAAAAATAAACAGACACTTGTTACTATCTCTGATGATAGCACTTCATTCACTTGCTTTCCATGTAGTCTTCAAAATTGAAGTCATTGAGCCCTTCAGAAAGTGAAGTGAAGTCTGACATCTCTAAATCCAGTCATTATAGTTTTTTAAACCTCTTCTTACATAATCATTCTTCTGAAATCAGTAATTGAGGTTTATGGAACCACTTGATTGTCTTCTTCGTGAAATATGATCAACTGACAGATTCAGAGACAGATAAACAAGTGTATCCCCCCAAGTTGCTACATTTCACGGTAGTACACAAAGAACAGCTTGGATAGAAAAAGTCATATCAAAGTAGACAAAGGTGTAGGGAAGCAGAGGGAAATTAAAAATAAAGGTTAGTCAAAACATTCTAGCTTTAGCAGAAATCAAAGAGTAAATACACTGAGCCAGTGATAGATTTTTAGCCATGTCACCTAGAGTCCTCAACTACTGATTCATATAGTCTCGGAGACCTCAGCCATGTAGTCTACATGTTCTTACACGGCTCAGACCAACAGACACGGACTCCATCGATTGACCCCACGTCTTCATCTGGCCACCCAGAACCTTACTCCAATTCCCCCTAGCACTGCACCACGAGATAGGTGGTGGTGGCTCGGTATGCGCAGTGCATGTCCAAACCACTTCGGTCGCTGAAGGTTCACAACCGTATCGACTAACTTGCTTTTCTTGCTTAGTACCATTCACCTGACCTCGACATTATTAACATGATGATTCCAGTATGGGTGAGCGACGCTACGAAGACACCTGTGGTTAAAAACCTGAAGTCTCTTATAATCTACTTTTCACAGGCATGTCTCACCCATATAACAAGACAAAACGGACTGCAGTGCAGTATACTCGTCCTCGAATACATAGTTGGATATCTCCTATTAAAGGACAGATACACATCCACACATCTACTTTGATCAACTAATACTCTATTCCCAAAGCTTCATAGTCGGAAATAATGTACACTGGAGTAGTCAGATAGTAGTTGTTTGGCACTTATAATTACTCAACCTCAAGTGTCTGCGACTCACGCAACTTAATAATGACCCAATTTTTACAGATGCAGTTGACAAATACCTTTATGTCCTTCATTAAATTTGAAAGTAGATAACGTAATACAAATAGAAAATTACATGAGACGAGTTAAATGAGTTAAATATTCTCTTACCTGTTGTATACCCAACAAAAAGACGATCTGGGAATTCACGACGAATATGCAAACAAGTTGGCCAACCAAGCCAATGAGGATTTTCTGGGATATTCAATGAAGAGATGAAATACTTATCAATCACATTAACGTATTAAGTACAATTAAAAGAAACTAAAGAATATAATGCGGGAAGAAATACAGCTGGAAATATTTGTTATTGTAATACATTTATCCTACTAAGCAATCTAAAAAGGTAATTTACTTGGTTGTGGCTAGCAGAGAAGTCCAGGACTCGCGTTTCGTCCCATTTTGGACTCGTCAGCTGCTAGACACAACCAAATAAATTGCTATAATAAATATACAGACAATATCGAAGCATCCGCACGGAAGCCTATATGCCAACAAAGATCGAACAATTTGATCCAGTATAACAACGGAGAATTACAAGTACATCAACAAATGGGGTAATATTTGAAAGCAATAGCTTTTAAATGAATATTTCAACAGTGGCACGATAATACAGTTAAAATCTCCTGACGAATTAATTTCCAGTCTCAGATCTTCTCCGCTCCGCTCACTATTACAGATTCTACCGTCACTCAGTGGCTTAAACGCTATTTCAAGATTTTCTATAAGTTGGTATAGCAAGCAGTCTATAATGTGCCACAGAATATAGCAACCATAATAACGTGGAACTATGGAGCGAGAAAGCCAATTAATAATTGGTATGAATAATAATAATAATAATTAAAAGAGGGAAAGTCAAACGAGAATGGGAGTGAATAAGATTCTTCTACCTTTATTTTCTATCGTGAAATTCATTTCATTACTTATTTCAAAAAACCCGCGATGAGGAGGTTAATGACCCCTCATTTTGAGCCATGTCTGATAACGTCTCTATCACTGGGTTGTTTAACCTCTTAGAAATACACGCTGAAATTCCTCGTCTATAAACTGACTTTAATGCAACTCAAATAGATTGTGTGAATAAAAGTGTACATGAAGTTTATCACAACCTTCATCCTATTTTTTTAATCACCAACATTTAGTGGTTATAGTATTACCTTGTGTCTGAACCAAATTAGGCGTCTTACACCACTACTCCAAGGTAGATTAACTTTAAATTTAATTCACAATGTGATAAAAATAACCTTATGAGTTTCATTCCTATGATAGCTGGTGATTATCATAAGTGGGGTTAGTGCACATGAGCACTGTTGGTTTAAAACCAAGGTTTTTCAACTCCTTCAAAAAAAGATTATTCTCGTTTAATGACGCAGCAGACACCGATATTATCGAATTGATTTTGATAGAAAAATTTCAGTAAAGTGAAGTCGGTAAAAAAGACCCTCTTAGGGAAGCTATGATGAGCATGAATATTGTATTCTATCAAATAATCAAGGATCGATATGCTAACTAGGATGCGTTTATCACTAGCATAGGCTGCAAATGTTTTTCAAACTCAATACTTTTGTCTTAGGAAAACCACTTGAGGCTGATAGTCCAAGATAGTATATGAATTATCAACTTGGCATAAGTGTTGATCAAATTACATAATCTCTATTTCAGGACATTGTCGTGTAAAGCGAAAAAATGCATTTTCGAAGTTAATATTTCCAACATCTGACTAGCACAACCAAAAAATAGAACAGTCTGGATGGAAAAGTGTATTAATCAAGGGCTAATGAGTAATCAGGTTTATAAACATGGACTAAATACTTCTTATTACAGTTGGGATAACTTACCTGGTATTAGTATTTATGCATAATACAAATTCATTTCATCTAAATTCATTAAGTAATAGGAGAAAAACTTCTACAGTGCAGAAAATCAAGGTTACTAAAATGATATACGACTGACAGAAACTTCCAAACAGTCACTGTTTACACAAGTTATAATGCACAGAAAGAATAATCATGTCATAAAATGATGGTTGCGTTGAGTCAGAACAAGCATTGAGTAACACAGATAACTTATCGCTCATTGACTAGCTTCGAGAGGTGATTCTTGAAGTTTCAATGACAGGCCGTGACCAGTGGAGTCAACTAAGTCGAACATGAGGACGGTTACTCAACTACTACATTGGATGTAGATCGCGCTGTATCGTGAACTGACACAACTAGGAAATGTAAACCACTGGATCCCGACCCAGTGGCTTAGTGGTAACGTCCTGGTAACGGAACCTGAAGGTTTTGAGTTCGATCCCTGGTGGGGTGGGGTCATGGGTGGGCACTGTTGCGCACTAGTCCGACTGATGTCAGTCCATGATGATTTCCAACCTAGAATCTCTAAAAGGTAAGGAATATAAATACTCCTAATGAGGAGCGCTATCCAATTAGAAAGTAATTATAAAAGGTAGTAATTGATGAATCGTTTGAGCTCCATGCATAACAGTTCAGTATATGAATCTTCCAAGAGATGAAATCCAGATTCAAATGTCTGTCATACCTTTTATTAACATTATACACAATTTTTTCTTTTAAAAAACCATGTAGAATAATACCTGCTACAACAGAAGGCGATAACGTGAGAGAACAGTTCTTTGAAAGTGTATAGGTAAATTTGGACACAGATAAATTTTCACAACCAAAATTCATTGGACAAGTTGGTATGGAAAAAACACGAACATAACCATCCTGAGAAGCGACAATTAAGTGACCAAGAATTCTATCCGTTTCTGGAGTAGTTACCATATATGATCCATGTAGACAAGCTTTTGACTGTAATTGTTTAATACCAGAAAGTGGAGAAACTGGTACCCAGCACATATCAATAATTCGACCCCAATCATGTGAAATAATAAAATGAATTTCAGGATTCAATGTACTGGATCTGATAGTAAATAAACGGAAAAATACAAGAATGGTAATATGAACTTTAGTGAAATGAAACTCATATTCAGTAAAAAAACGTAACGAACTGATCTCATGCTATTCATTTTCAGTCAAGATATGAAAAGTTTTATTTGAAAAAAAATTGTATACAGGAGTATCAGGCCGAAAACTCGATGGTTGCTAATTCGAATCCGGCTGTGGTTGAAATTTTCATTTCACCTTCAATCATCACCCAGTATCAGTATACAGAATCACCAGGTATCTAATTTTACTGTTTTATTAGTAGTAATACTGAAAATCAAAGTGTTATGCTTTCAGCTTCAATGTTATTACTCTAAGAATCGCTATTTAAGTCTTGAGCTACCAAAAAACTTTCCATCAGTTATATTTCATCAAATTCTTCACTTCCACTTTCTTTTAATCTTTCAAATGTATTCTAACTACATCATATACTCTTCCATCTTTTTAAAATGTTTTCAAACTTTCCTTTTTCAAGCTAAGAATAAAACAAAGGAAAACATATTCCATCGGTTGCAAATGGATTTTTAAATACTCAAAGATATACCACTTTCCTACTCCTAGGGATACACCTATATGGGATTATGAATTTCTCTATGCTGACTGACTGATCTACCACAATCAAAATTACACTCGATTTTGTGTTCATTTCCCAATCGATAATAGATGACAACACATATGTAACACTAGCTGCTCGTTTCACAATTATCCCATCATTACTGTTATTATTAACATCATACAGACGTGATAAGTATTTCTTGTACGGGAAGCGAATTAGTTGGAATATTCCATGCTGAAAATTCCATACTGTATCATACATACTGCTTAGAATAAAGCGATTATTATTATTATTATTACAATTGTTATTAAATCGACTTTTAGATAGAGATAATGGAATCGAAAAGTGAATACTGGTATCCAATCACCAATAATATGCACCATTTCAGTGAGTGCATCAGATACCCCAAAGATCAGATATATAAGCATAAATTAATAATTATTATATTGTGATATTTGTTTCACTTAAAATTGTGAAATGTAATACATCAGTTGATCTAAAAGATGCACTATTCAAAATAACCCGACAATACTATCAAGAATAGTGGGGGGGGGGAAGTAATAGTAACAACTTTTAGGTGGATTTCGCCATGGATTGAAGTCATCTGAAGAACCTTTGAAAACTCGGGAGCATAGAACAACTACTTCATCCCAGCTGGAGACTCCTCAGCAGTATGCATTTACAAACCCTTAAAGAATCATGCTCAGTACCATTCAGCTACTGTGTCGAGAGTCAACAGACGCCTTATTCCGACTTTAGTCGACCTGTGATGTAGTGGAACCTTCAATCAGTGTCATTGGTGAGCATCCATTTTCGCTCCCGATTTGATTGACCACCACATAAGCCACGGTATTTTATTAGTAATCATCATAAAGAAAAAATATTTGCACAGAGGTTAACTCAAGCGGGTTTATCTACCTTTTACAAAACACTGCATAAAAGTATGATAACAGTGTCATTTGTTCCAGTGTTTAGTAGTAAATAACAATATTTCAATAACTAGTTGATCTACTTGAAAATCATTTTTATCAATATTCATGACAGTAAAGCGACATAACGATAAAGTTAGTCTTTTAATGTTGATTTTAAAAATAAAAATTTTACAAAAATTTGCTTTCAACAGTTACACAAAAGAACAGTACACCAAAAACTATTCAAATTGTCATTTGTAATAAAAAAAAAACTAAAATATATTACAGTTCGCAAACATAAACTAGACAAAGTCAACAAGTGGGAAAAGTAAATAATCTTAAGACAAAAATCAATCCAAAGACTGTTTTATCAGCGCTGCATTATCTCAACAGACAAAGAGAGGCAGGTACATTCAGCTGACGAGTGTCAAATAGGACGAAATGTGCATCCTGGATTCCACTGCTAGCCACTGCCCATCATTACTAAACAAAAAGAGTGTTGAACATGTTGGTAACCATTTGGTTGCCCGGTAGTAAATCTTCAATTCGGTTTAATAACAGTTTGTATTCGACTAACCTTTAATTGCACATTTTAAAAATATAAGTAACGCTTTATCATTATTATTTGTCCCTTGGATTCCTAGTGGAACATACGGTTTCAATAGCACGTCTCCATTTCACTCTGTTCTCTGTGGTCTTTTGGATCTGGCTCCACTACTGCCCACAAGCTTTCATTTCCTCCTTATATAATCTCCTCCATATCAACCTTGGATGCCAAGCTCGTCGTTTCCCCTTTGGATCTCACTCAACGACCTGACCTGGCACGTGATGTCTCCAAATGGCTTTCTCAGTGTATGCCCAATCCAATCCATCTCAACTTTCTTCTGCATATTTGTTAGGCGATGGGTTCTTAATTGGTTTGTTGCCACCCAGAGTTCCTTGTTCCTTATTCTTTCTGGCCATCCGATCTTCAGTGGTGAGCGAAGGCAGATGTTGAGGTCTGTAGTTTGTTTAAAATACTTTTCGTGACCTGCCATGTTTCTGAACCATATAGAAGCATTGACTTGACTGAATTAGTGTTGAAAATTCAGATCTTGATCACACTTTATGCTGAGTGCAGTGCAGTAGATCTCCACACTGGTTTCAAATTAATGAAGACCTGTCTTGCTTTTTGGATGCTGGCTTTGACGTGCTTGTCTGTGCCACCTGTAGTTGAAACGATACTGCCTAGGTGGATAGGTAGGTGAAAGAGACTACTTCCTTTAGGTTCCTCCCGCTGATGGTGATTGATGCTTGTCGTTATTGTTGTTGGTTGGGTATCTTCATCACCTCTTTCTTCTCTTCATTCATTCCAAGTCCCATCTTCGCTGCCTCTTCTGTCAAATTGTTAGTCTTCACCTGTAGATTTTCGAGTTTATGCGACATTAGACATAAATTATCGGCGAAATCCAAATCTTCTTGGGTCTTTTAGGTAACGCTTACTTCATTGGAAATATAACATGAGACAATAATTGAGTAACCAGCTTTTTTAGTTTTTATTTCAATTGTAGCTGACTTTCAGAAAGATATACGTCTGACTGAGTATTCAATTAACAAAATATTGCCTTCCAAAAACGTTTTTTCTTGTGATATAAACCGAGGAGTCAGCGTTATATTCATGATCTTCGATAATTAACTGGAACTCGGAAACAATAAACCAGGGTAGAGTTGAGGATAAGCGACGACCTTTTGTGTTCGATTGTCGTTGTCTCCATAGGATTGGTCACATCCGATGGTAACACTATGTAAGTAATTGTGAGGTACAACAGAGTGTTTCTGGACATGATGGAGATCGTCATTCAATAAGTGAAACACCGGATTCGGTGTCTTGGACATGTGTTACGCATATCGTCCAAATGGCTTCCATACAGTTCACTGTTTGCTAGCCGTGTGACTGAATGGAAGAATAGAAAGGGTCATCAGTGAATGACGTGGTTGCATGGGGTTAGCATCTGTTGGTACATCACGATTCCTTGGGTAGAGTCAGAGAGAACATGCAACTCAGTGGCCTGAAATGTTATCAGATATGGCTGAGAATGGAAAGCAATGGTAGTTATGCCGTAGCTTCCTTCTATATTGTGCTGCTGAAAAGTAATGAATGTTTTGTTTTGAATATATCTTACTAAATATATCTACTAAATTTTAACTTTTCTTCAGGTTCTAGAGCATATAAAAGCTTAAAAATACTCACCATATTCCCCTAACTTCAAGTGACATTTGACTCTATTAGCTGAGGATTGGTGTGTCAATCTGACTGTAAAGAATGTGCTAACGAAGCATATGATTCTACTCATGACTCTTTGCCTAGATCCAAGAAGCTGAAAATAGGCTTATGAGAAACTGACGCCAACTAATGATATTCGTTAGTGTTACCACAACAATTCCTGCTCAACTTTATTATTTTTTTAATGGGAACAACTTTGTTTACCCTCAATTTCTCAGGCACCAATATATTAAGAAATCCTTGATTTGATTGAATCTTGCTGAATTGGTTCACAAGACTACCAGAACAGTACTGAAACTATCAATCCACCCAAATGAATATCCAATAGGTGATACGGTCTACAAAAATACACAGCATGACCTATGACCAGTCTAGAAAATGAAAACCTTTTAAAACAGAAAACTTAACGTTCCAATATCATTGCCTAATAGCACTCCATCTACTGGGGATATTTATATACGAGACTATGAGCTGGGTGTATTGCATTTCAGAGTCGTAAGCTGGTTGTACATACCTCCCAGTGAGTGATGTTGATCCCACTAAGACTACAACCCGGGACCGATGGCTTCGAACCCCGGAAAGTTATCCACTAGGCCACCAGACCACGGTAGCCACTTTTTATGCGACGGGTATAGTTTTTACGTTGTTGTTTGTATTGTCTCGTCGTTGACTGGACCGAATTGATCGGTCTTTATTGGCATATCATCACTATAAAATTGAAACGACAGGTAATATCAAGGTACCCGAACAGAAGCCTCAACGCCGATAGAGACAGATCAGTTCACTTCAATCAACGACCAGGTAACACAGGCAACAACGCATAGGAACACTATGCCCACATCACAAAAAGTGGCAATCATCGCTCAGTGGCCTAGTATATAACGTTCTGGTGTTGGAAGCGATCGGTCCCGGGTTCGAGTCTTAGTGAGAACAAAGTTGCTCACTGGAGACGGGTAAACCAAGCGAACGAGTCACAAGTAGGATGAAGCATACATCTTGGATTCCACCGTTAGCCACTATCTATCATAACTACATTTCCATACTGTGATCGTTTTTGATGATATTCACCAAAAGACTATTTATGAAATGAACTGAATTCATGTTATGTTCAGTTTATTATTATTATTACTATTATTATAAGAACACAAACATGGTACAGCAAGGGCACCAACAAATGTCTAACACAAAGTAGCACAACATTATGAAGACATTAACGATCGGAAGTAGATAAGATAGAAAAACAATAACAATAGCATGATTAGAAGGCCAATTCAGTAAGATATATTCAAAACAAAACATTCAGTACTTTTCAGCAGCACAATATAGGAGGAAGCTACGGCATGACCACCTTTGCTTTCCATTCTCAGCCATATCTGATAACGTTTCAGGCCACTGAGTTGCATGATGTCTCGCATCCCACGTAGTTAGTCGTGATGCACAAATAGATGCTAACCCGACACTGCTTTCCTCCCTCCTACGGCCTTACGTTATACACTGACCACCTCTACACTTCTACATACTCCCAGGGCCAGCAAACAATGAACAGTATAGAAGTCGTTGGGACGACATGAGTAGCAAATGTCCAAGACATCGAACTCGGTGTTTCCAAATGACTTCATTTATTGAACGACGATCTCCATCATGTCCAAACACACGCTGTTGTACCTCACAATTACTTACATGCTATTACTACTGGATTCGAGAAATTCTGTAGAGACAACGATGATCGGACACACATATAAGTCGCACATCCTCAGCTAGGAGAGGCCATGTTTCGCAAGCGTAGAGGAGAACCGAACGCATCGAAGCGTTCTAAACCCGACCTTTTATGGTCAGACTAACATCGCGACGGTGTCAAAGGTGATCCAGATTGACGTATGCCACTCTGGTTTCCGATATGCGGCTGGAAATCTCATCACTCAGACCTCCACCGGCACTTACACAACTATACAGACACACAAACTTTCTGACTACTTCCAAAGGCTCACTAGCTAGGGTGAGCACAGGTACAGGCTCCTGTCAATCCTGCAATAGCGCTTAGCACTGCGGTGGTCCAAACCATACTTACGGACACTAGTCACCAATTAGTTAAGTGCAAACGGAATACCCCGTGTTTTCCTACGGTAAGACGATATCGTCCGCATATTCAAGGTTAAATAGTCGTTCTTCAGGTAGTAGGTCTACACCAACATCACGAAACCCCATTCAGAGCTGCCTCTAGAATGTCATATATATATATATATATATATATATATATATATATATATATATATATATATATATATATAGAGAGAGAGAGAGAGAGAGAGAGAGAGAGAGAGAGATTTCAAGATGTTAATAAGTTTTTCCGGTACGCCCCTCTCCAACAAACAATTCCACAGTACAAATCAGTCCAACGAATCGAAGGCAGTCCTAATGTCAAGAAACATAGTTTGTGAATTATGATAGCAGCCAATATTTTCGACGCCATTGGTAACAGACTAATATTCTGGTGATAGTCACATACGTTACGTAGACTCTTTTAAAGATGGGCACAACGATGGCTTCATTCCAGAGTGATGGAACAATCTTAGCCATACCTCAAACAGTCTAGTCAGTTCCCTGACTAGAGTAGTTTCTGCATCTGTAAAAAGAGCCGAGGGTTGTCTGGGCCGGGCGCCTTGTTCATTTCATTCACGTCTATGGAAGAAAATAACTGCATAAAATCAAGAGCATACACAAACCAGTCGCTGGGAAGTAAGCCGGCAACGTTTTCGAGTCCTAAGGGTGCTGATCAAAGAATATTGATTAGACTTGTAACATGGCAACTAAGTGACACGACACTGCAAAGTACAGCATTTGATGTTAGGAATCAGTCAACAGGAACCCTTGGATTAAGGTCTCGTCATTTATTGTGAGGCAGATTAAAATAACCAAATGAACACGTTTCCTTATAGTTACAGATACGCCTTGCAGATAATTACCATTAAGCATGAAACCACGGTCCGCAACCTCCTGCAGACGGGCACTTAACATCTAACACAATGAGGGGTATACAACGAAGAATTGTCATCGCAAAAACCTTGATGAAATATTTGTAGATTTTACAAAACAAAAGGAGGACATACGTTTCTGTTAGACCTAGAACCCCACAATTCCAAATTTGTATTGTTCCTGGACCACTCTTTATACCATCAGAATATAACGTCTGTAAGTCTGGTGTTAAAGTGGAGGCAGTAGCCAAAAATGAGCACTCATTTGCAATCGAATCAGAATCCAGTAGCGAATAAAGACGTGGAGGACACCAGGACAAACAGGTTACTGCCCCTCCAACATAAACTAAATTTGAATCTGGGATACAATAACTGAATTATATATTGACGTACCCTTATCAAATTCGAATTGTTTAAGTTTCATTGGATTATTTTCATAGGACAGATAGGTAGGACTGATAAAAGGCTGTGGAAGATGATCCTTTTTGAAACTAAAAAGTTGAGTAATTGGAAACAATCACGTAGAATGGAATACTTACTGAATGGGTGATCGAATCCAAGCTCCCGAAGTTGGAAATAGAGCCTTCTGTCGACACATGAATTGTGTTTTATATCCACTGATAGAATATGTAAAAATCAAATGAACATTACCTGGGGCAACACAAAAATGGATTGGGTATATTATAGAATGTGGATTTTAGTGCTTTTAGTGCCTGTAGAAACTTTGCAGGAGCTACGGACCTGGGGTCTCGGTCTATGAGACCTCGGCAAGATCTCATGTATCTTACAAAAGGAGACCGCAAATAGCTTTTATCATTTACAGCAGAAATACAAGTTTTGCTTGGTAATGGCCTACGAGATTCCCTAACAAGAGACCTTGTAGAGGACGAACTTGATGATGGATTTCCTGGGTCATATGATCCTTCAGCTTCATTTTCACTAATAGAAACACTCTCATCTGTAGTGGCACTATTGTTTCCACTTTCACCAACATAATCGGAGGCTTCACTTTCAATATTTTCAGAAATAGAACTATCATCAGAGATTTGACGACTTGTTATTCCACAAATTGTCCGGAGACAGGCTTTGGCAGATGCCCGACGTGGTTTCCCAGTGGCTGTCATATTTTCAGATTCAAATAAGACGCTTTGAAATTTTATTTACAAAGACGGATTACATCAGGCTGTAAACCGTTTGAAGGTATGTGAGGAGGGTTGTTTTTCACTTCGTTGTATTCACAATTTTATCAACAGTTGATAAATCCTTCACACCTTAAGTACGAATAAAAACATAAAACGTTAATTTAAGGATGAGTTAACATTTATACTAACAATAATGCATGAATATTGCACTAGCTTTAGTGCTTTAGGATATACATCTGAATATGTATGCTGCCAACTTCATTTCGTTAGTACACTCGACTGAAAGTCTTGTTCAGATAAGAATGTGCCTTTATTAATTAGATAAAGTACTGCACGTTACTGCATTTTAATTGAACATCACCAGACTTCTTAACGTGAAGCGCTGGCTTATTGGTCTAGAGAGTCAACTTTCAATTAGTGGGTCACAGATTTCAACTTTTCTTTAACTATTGGGGTTCGAGAAGCCAGGTAGCATAGTTAACCTTCGAACAAACGGTGTGACTTACAGCCTGGTGCAAATATCTGTACTGGTTTGAATTGCCCTATTATTTTTATTGAGTGAACTGTACAGTTGTGCTTTGGGTCTTACAATATGGTTATGAAATAGTCATTAAAAGTGAAATGAGGATTTAAGGATTTTACCACCTTTCTCTTTTTAAAATCACTTATATGTGGTGGGACCCAGATGTGAGCAACAGTGGTTAGTTGAAATTGTGGGTAGATTAAGTTAGCAATAACTTTTCACCAAACTATAGTTTACCTCGTCGTGTTATTGGGAGTAGGATTAAGTGAGAAATAGGCCAAAAGTGAACAGACCAAAATATGGCTTCAGTCTATGGTGGAATACAATCGGGAAACCTACGACTTTTATAATGGGCTATGATCAACTTTCCTATTACTAGGATACCGATATGATTGCATGTTAGAAGTGTTATAAGGGCAGTGATAGATAAATCATCTAAATTCTATCAGATACTTCACCATTGTAGCCATGTTTCACAAGCATATGATCAAACACAGTGAATAATATTACGGTAGAAAAGATAAATCAACCAACCTTTACAGGGAGGACTTGATGAACAAGCACTATCTAACATGATAAGAAATGTAGATTCGATGATAAACCAATTGAAACTTCAGTGAATAGTTATGGTGTCACTGATTAAAAATTTCGACCCACTTGTTTCTAACACAGGTATTCAGTGAGATAGTAATCCATGTCCTACCATATCCTCAGACGCAAGAGAGCAAGTCAATATTAATAAACGACCTTGCATTCCTGCGTAATAGTCTAATTTGCTACGCCTCACGTTAGCACGTCAAGCGAGAATATAACGATGAAAATTAGAGAAATAAGGAGGAAAGTAGTCAAAAGTGGTATGCCATGAAATCAAAACAAGTTTGAAACAACGATGAAGGTGAAGATAATGTCGGGGATAAATTTGCACCATTGACATCGGTTCTGAGACATACCACCTCGAGTCTCCAAGCGCCGGTTCCGGTTGTCATATAGACCCCAACCGAGAAGTCTACATTCCCTTGGACAGCTCAGACCAACAACCAAAGACCTCATGGACTGATACCATGTTTCAATTTGGTCACCTTTATCTCTTTTCCAGCCTGAACCTACTTTAGCTAACATTATGCAACGGAGTAGACGATGACTAGGCATGCGTGATTCGTACGTATCTACGAGATTTCACAGTATTAACTTACTTCTTCTGCCTAAAGCTCTACGCCTGACTTCGGTATTACTGACGTGGTGGTATCAGGACACGCGATGTACTACGGAGGCAACGGTGATCGAACACCTAAAGCCTTCCATTTTTTCTACCTTTAATGACTATGTTTCACAGCCACTTAAATGCAACTCCACTGCAGTATACTCGACTTCAAATAGGCGGTCGGATATCACATCGGTGTCAGAGACGGCTTGTGAGTAGAAGTCAGTCGAGCCTTTTATATTCATGCGGAGATCTTGTCGGTCACTAAACCACCAGGGATGATCCAACTTCCCAAACAAATGAAGTTATCAACGCGCTCAACCAATCTACATCCTTTTCTACACTTGGAGCCAACACAGACCAGTCCTGAAGCAACAATTTGCAGTTGGGTGGTGGGAAAAGCATCTCAAACATTCTTAAATTGCCATTCAGGGTGTCTAGAAGATGCTATCTCCGTCTAACAGGACTATGTCACTTGGGTACTCTAGGTATACTAAGTGATACATTCTGAGACAAGGTCAATCCCCGTAAAGTCAGAGGAGGAAACTTGCAGAAGCGTGTTTGCAATAAAACTAAATACGAATAAAGAGAGTGGACATCCTTAACGCGCAATACTCAACGAAGACGACTCATCAAATACTTCACTGTAAGCTGTGATGTGCTTATGGGCGTTCTGGTATAGACCCTTTGATAGTTATATACTTACTCGAAACTTCTTTCAGTAAGAAGCACCGTCATGAGATTCCTCGGTTGACTCGACTTAAATGCAGCCTTTAAGTCAAGAAATACAGCTCTTTTTAACATTTTTCACTTATGGTATTCAAGGTTTCTTTACAGCAGACTGGAGATAGCACTAGACTTCTTCTGAAGGAGTGATATTGTTCTATCCCAAAAATTGTCTACCCAGGTTTTAACAGAAAGTAACCTAGGTACTCTCATTTTCAAGCTGCACTCGGAATGGTTTTATTTTTGTAGTTTTTCTACGTTTATTTGGGTGCAGAAGTAAGGATGCTCGAACCATTGTGTGATCGCTGCAGAAGGAGCACCAATCTCCACTGACCTTCTCGGAATTTAAATACACTCAGTAACATTGTGCACACTCGTATAGTAGATAATGAACCACACTTGTAGGACAAATGATACTACCTGGTTGACTGGACCTAGATAGGTGAAGCGGTGTTCGAACCCGTTTCACTTGGATGGTAGACAGTTTTTCGTAAAACTCTTCGTCCGCTTTATTCGAACTGCAGTCAGTTTACGTGTAAGCGGATGCTACGAAGAGATAACGACTATTTTCACCACTCTTTTCAGTCTTCACTGCACCAGTCAGTTAAACAGTGCACAGCTAACTGTCACCTTTGATCCAGCTGAGCAGTGCACTTTCTGCCTTAGCATTTAATGCTATTCATGCACCTGCAAGGCCACAAGAGATTCGAGAGAATTTCACAGAGTCACCATATTGATCGGGTGAATTCAAGAGAAAAACTGCACTTTTACACTGTATGCGTGCCTCATAAATGCACGTTAAATCCATGGCCCAGGAAGCCTATGTTTTTGACTATCTAAGCATGTCGTTTGATTCGACGAACGGTTCGAACATTCAGGACATCTACATAGTCTTTTTGAAAGTGAGATGTAAGTTTGTTCCTTTCGAACTCAGCTATAAACCCATAGCGCTGTACGGTGGAGTGCGCTACTTTTCGGACTAATTTCTAATCCCCCTTCCTATAAAAGAGGCAGCATTAGCATGGGACTGCTGGTCATCCGCGGGAAAAACCTTACTACTGTCAAGTCCCTATCCAGCCAACAGTATGACTTCACCCTCGAACTCACATCATAGCGAAGTATTGTAGGCTATAATGGTGTCCGTTTTTGTTTTGCTACCATCCAACAGAACTTTCTTGTACGTTAAGACCTCATAAGAACAAGCGCTCCACCAGCATAGCTCGTTGGGTCATTGTGAAACTCAAGCCTGAACACCAACGTCAAGGTAGTAGATATCGATCTGGTACTTACATGTAAGGTTACTGAGAAGTGATTTTGCAAGTTTCGAAAGGTGATATATACTGGTGCATTAACTATTGCTTCCAAATAACCATAGCTATAATATGTACTGGGTATCTACAGCTCGATGCAATCATGTCGTAACGCCAATAAGGATTTTTCAAACCGATCCTTGCCTCCTGATTTTGGTACTGAAGTACTCCTACACTAGAACTCTTCAACTGAATCTATGTGGCAGTACCTAGATTAAACTCCACGAATGCATCTTCCATACATTATCAGACCTTTATGGAACCTCTGATAGTCAACTTAAGTAGCAACCACTTCATTTTGTTAAACTATGAATGTGATACAAATAAACAGGTTTGAATTCTGACAATCTCCAGTAATGGAAATAATGACAAGGAGAGTAACGGAAATTAGATGGAGTGATTCTCTAAAAATGTAGGCTAAGTGTAAACAAGAATTAATCCCTACGACAAGTTTTTAGGCACATCATCAGCTGTCTTTAGATCAAGTCTTTTCCCTCACATGAATTCATTTCACCAACCGGTGTGTTAAGGTCTCAGAACAATAGTCAACCAGGTAACTGAATGAATTTATTATTGACTTCTACACCTCTTCCAGCGACGGTTAATCCGCCAATACTTTAGCACACAGAAATAGCATGTTCCGGTTACTATTGACAGTAACTCTTCATAATTATCATGGATATACAGACAGCTGGCTCGATCGAGCAAGAAACTGTACATCTCTACTGGCCACTTGGGATTTTATAAAAAGTGCGAATACAGTATCACCACTAGACTGACAACCTTTCAACTTTTGATGAATCGAGAAAGCAGTGAGGGCAGATGAGCATTGTTTAGAATGAGTTTATCGATAAATTCTAATTCCAAGCAATCAAAGGTACTTCTAATATAACTTAGTTATATTGCTCTTCTACAGTTTTGATCGAGCAGATATCTTTTTTTATATTGATTTGCAAGTTTGGATGTTACATAATTATCAAGCACATTATAAGGTACTACAGTGCTTTCTTAGCCGGTAAACTTTGGACCCACTTTGAGATTTTCGGGCAAAAAACTGTACTAAAAAACTTGGGATTACTGCCGATAATGCATCATCGCATCCAAAATTATCAAGAAATGTCCCCAGAAATTCCGAATTTGTCAAACTGCACCCTAATTGTATTATTTGTATCGTTATAATTTGGTGGCACAAGATGCATGTCTATAAATGAATCCATGCAAGTATGCATAAAACCAACTTAGTATGTGCAACCTGAGGAAAAATACACAAAGCTTTAAATTAGGTATCCACAACGTTAACTTAATTATCAAACTCAAAATTTTCTGAGACATCACCCTAGAAAAACAGTGAACAGTAGCAGAAGAATTGACATACGCTGGTCCTAACTATTTGCATGATGATGAAACTACAAAGTAAAAATGCAATAAGCAGACAGTGGACAGGACTACCCAAATACACGGCACTGGATAAAGGACATTAAGGTACTGACGCACTTCTAGGTCACGTTCGTCTCAGTCGATTGGCTAGTTTTAAAATGAGTTCTACAAAGTGGTTATTCTATTTAGCGCGATAATAGCCTGAAGATAGTATTTTCAGCTGTAGGCAAGATGTCTGACTATCTGACAGCAGTGTTTAACAGAGTTATGATGTCCAATCATTTTAGTAGTTTAAATGCATTCTAAGAATCGCTTTTAAAGCTCAATAAGGCAATGTAACAGAAGAAATCAGGCTTCGTGAAATGGTTATTGCATATTGGGAGGCTCAAGCGCATTACATGGTAAATGTTGGTCCGAGACACGACGGTAACGTGGTACTATGATACGACCTTCCAATATCCAATATTGATAGTGCGAGGGTAGAAAACTGGTAGTGTTTGATCTCTCGCGTCTAGTTCTTAGGGCTTGGTTCCAGTTGTTCGGTTCACTCCTGCAGTGGACGAGGAAATCCCCTCTGCTTTCTTGCTTTTAGCTTCGGTGAGGTGGATGTTTTGTGGGTTAGTAGGTTGTAATTTGTAGAGTGATTAGGGAGCTACGGGTTGCTGGGAAGTTTAGAGAACTGCCGTGACTCCTGTCTGTGTAGGTACCTGAAAGAGAATAGTAAGGTAGTGGTAAAGGAATGAAGAGAGAAATAAGGAAGAGAAAAAAGGAAAAAATAATAACAATATAGGGAAGAGAAAAGGGAAGGAGAAGAAAAGGAGGGGTGAAAAGAGAAATGAGAACGAAAGAAAAGTATTTGGGAATTGCCCGAATGGTCGCGTGGGTTTGGTTCCTACAGAAGAATTAGTAGGTAATGTGGGTGTATTAAGGAGAGAGATAGTGAGTGGTAGTTAGGAGGGAGTTGGGGGTACTGAGGTTGGTGACTACCTGAGTACGTCCGTGGTAGTCCATGCGAGGTGACATAACTGTCTAATCGCCTCTTGAAAGAGTCGATTGAAGGAGCTATAACGATGTGTCGCGGTAAGGCATTCCATAAAGCACATACTCTTAGGGAGAAAAATTTGGACCTGAGTGTGGTGTTGGCTCTCTGGTGTGCTATCTTAATGGGGTTTCCTCGTGAAGATCGTTCAGTTGCAGGCAAAATTGATTTGTTTGCATGGTCTGCCTGATGGGCGATCTTGTATGCCATAATGAGGTCACCCCTTTTCCTGCGATAACCCAAGGTAAATAGGTTGAGGTGTTTAAGTCTTTCAGGATACGTCTTTCCCCTTAGCCCCACAACTGATTTTGTTGCAGTTCTTTGTATTCTTTCAAGGAGATTAGAGTCTCTCTTGAGTGTTGGAGGAGCCACCGTATTGAAGACCTCTAGGTGCGGCCGCACGTAGGATTTGAAAATGGTGAGGAAGAGTTCGGGAGTGAGGGCGCCAAGCTGTCTACGCAGAAAGTGTAGAATGGCGTTCCTGTCATACCTTTGTAGTTGGAGCTGGTGTCCAAGGTGTCGGAGAAGTTGAGCCCCAAATCTTTCTCCATGGACACTCTGGTGATAGCACGGTTGCTCAACATGTACTGGAAGTCGGTCGTACTTGCCTCATTTTTACTGATGTGCATTACTTTGCACTTTTCCAGTTGAAGCTCAGGCCATTTTCCGACGACCAGAGCTCGAGTTGCTGCAAGTCCTTTTGTAGTGCTGCACAGTCGGCTTCTTCGTTTACCACCCTCCAAATTTTTATGTCGTCAGCGAAGAGGAGGATGGGTGAGGATATTTTGTCTGGCAGATCGTTGACAAACAGGAGGAACAGAAGCGGTCCTAGGATTGCTCCTTGGGATACTCCTGACGTCGAGGGTCTCCACTCCGACCTTATTCTGTTCACTTTAGTGCAGAACTGCCTCCCTTCCAGGTACTCCTTGAACCAAGAGAGTAGGGGTCCACTTATACCAGCTGACATGATCTTGTGAAGCAGTACTGTGGGTGGGACACTGTCAAATGCTTTGGCTAGGTCGAGAAATACAACATGTACAGGTTTTCTATTATCCCAGCTTTGTGTCCAGTCGTCCCAGGCGGTTAGTAAGTTGGTGGCACATGAGCGACCACTACGAAAGCCGTGCTGAGCAGTGTGGACAGTGTTTTCCTATTGAGGAATTCCCAGATGGTGTCAGCTACCAGGCTTTCCAACACTTTCGACACAATAGGGAGTAGGGCAATCGGCCTGTAGCTGCCAGGGCTTTTTCTGTCTCCTCCCTTGAAGATGGGTGACAAGATGGCACTCTTCCATTCTTTAGGGAGTTTGCACGAGTCTATTGAGTGCTCAAAGAGGTTGCGAAGTGGTTTGTAAGCACCTCGGCGCAGTTTTTCAGAACCACTGGTTTCAGGTTATCGCAGCCAGGGGACTTGCCCGGACGTAGCCTAGATAGCTTCTCGAACACCTTTTTCTCTGTAATAGAGACGTGACAGAGGTATTCGTTATTTGCGACCTGGTCGGTGTCGTGGCGAGTCGGTGTGGATCTTGTGTCAGTGCTGAGTTGGGCTTGGAAGTGTGAGCTCAAAAGCTCGGCAATCTCTAGACTGCTTAGCACACTCCCGTCATGGCCTGTGACAAGATTCACTCCCTTACTGGTCGACTTTCTTCTTGACATGAAGCGGTACAGGTTTTTGGGGTTGCTTTGTAACCTCGCTGCCAAGTTTGTTTGGTAGGAAAATCTGTCGTTACGCACTCTAATGTTACAGAGATTGCGAATCCTTTTGTAGTTCAAGAAGTCAGACTCCCTGCGTGATGTAAGCCACTTGAACCAAGCCTGCTTCTTGCTCCGGATAAGCCTCTCTGTCCCACGCTTTAACCATGAGGTTCTCATTGATTGTCTGTGTGTTACTTCTGGTACACTGTGACTGATGGCCCCAGTGATTATTTTCTTCACCTCCAACCAGTGTTCATCTATTGTGAGATGAGTCCAGTCCACTGGCCATGATGCATTCATGAGGTAGTCCCTCATGGTCTCATAGTTGGCCTTGCTGTAGCAAGGGAAGGTGTTGGGCGTCTCCAGTTGCAGAGCCTCCCTAGTTATCATGGAGAAGGTGATTACAGCGTGGTCACTGAGGCCAAGGGGAGGTTGGATGCAAACATCCTCAATGAGAAGTTCATCGTTCGTCAGAACGTAGTCAAGGCGCGATGCGTTTCCGTTAGGTCCCCAGCGTGTAGCATCACCCACTTTCTCTGAGAGGCCAGCAGTCCTAATTGCATCCTTCAGCTTCTGATTGAAGGTTACCGAGTTGCGATATTTATTCGTGTCGTGGGACAGAAAAGGTGTAATAGATCAAATGGTATTAGAAAGGGAACCTCGTAAGCGGTTTCGTTAGTGTTAGTTTACATTCCTGCATGTTTAAATGCATAAAATGCCACGCATCTCTCTGTGTTAGACGTTCGTTTTCATGCATTAAAGGAAAACGGCCACCTGCAGTTGGCCCAGCTAGCAAATACTTTATACACAATTGACATTTTGGGCGAAAAACGGCAGTAATTTTTTTTAGGAATACTGCCAACAATGAGTCGTCGTGCCCAAATTTGCGAAAAATCTTCCCCCGAAAACTCCAACTTTGTCAAACTTTGCTCAAAGTTTTGCCGAAAAGTTCCAGTGCACCCAAACTTGCAATACTCGAACGTCGGTGAATTAAAGGTATGGTTGAACCTTAGGTATTCACTGTACGAGAGCGTCACCAACCCAAGGTCATTCACAGAGTTCGGTTTTTGCCCAAATGTTATGCAGTTTATCCAAATCTCCGTAAGTCCGTCCGAGTTACCCAGATTATCTGCCTAGCGCCCAAATATGTCAGAATGTCTGGAGTGCGCCCAAAGTTATGCAAGCTGGGCATCATAACGGGTAAAAAATAGCGCATGGGAATACATTTGGCATATGTGTATTCTTTGTCTGAATATACGCTATGTGTAACTGTTTATTTAACTCCCGAGTACTGTAATCTTCCTCAAAACTAAAGTTTTTGGGTAAGGGCCCAGAAGTTCCAAGCTGCTCCAGAAGTTGACTTGGGGATTCACCTAAGAATGTCAAAGTCCACCCGAAGTGTTTGCTGGGTGGGAGGCTGCTACAAAACAGCCGCACACGTTACGGGCATGGGGAAAATTTACGATGTGACAAACGGCAATGGCTTAACCCTTATTGAGGCCGAACGTTGATGCGCGCCCAGCCGTAAAAGACTTTGGGCTGACTTTGGAATTTTGGGACGAAAATCTGCGCTAAAAATTTTGAGGTTACTGCCGACAATGCACTGTTGTGCCCAAAACCGTCAAGCGTGTTTCCAAAATTGCCAAGCTTGTCAAGCCGCTCTCAAAGTTTACCCGAAAATTTCCACAAGTTTCAAAGTCCACCCAAACATTTTCCCCGGAAAACCCAAATGTCCGGAAGTCTGGCTTCATCAGTTCTTAGACAAACAAGCATGGACTTGTATGCAGTTGACATTCATACTAAGTAAGTATCTTTGTTACCGTTAAAATGACAAACAGCAGGAGGATGCAGAAGCATTGAAAGAACAGGCTTATTATCAAAATGTCACATTCTTCCTACATATACGTTTTCCGTCCCTTGATCGCTGACTAAACCTTAGTCGACTTTGTCCACATTCTCAGATGAAGACGATACTCGAGTTGTTTCAGAGTACTGCGATGTATAAACATGCGCGCCCGCATCCAGTGGGTGTAAAGTGCAAGCCCACCGGCGTCTCACGGTGAGGCCTCTTTTTGCTCAGTCACAGTCAACGACGGCTGTTGTGAAGCCATTTCTGAATGCTGGAATCTATTCTTCTAGCAGTGATGTCCTCATCAATACCGCTCTCCCTGTGGTGGCTGGAGATGACCCCTGAAAAACTAAAATAAACCAAAAGGCGACCTACCTATCATGACGTTGGCAAGCGATGGTTTTTAAATGGTCTTTTCATAGCAGTTGATGGCCTCGAAAAAAGCCTGCTGTAATTCAGCACCGGCATTAGGTTA